AGAGGGATGTTCTGCCATGCCTTACACTGCTCACCAAAGAGACCACTGCTTAGTGAGAAGAGGTAATATATCACACGGCTAAGCCAAATGCAAGCTTAGAGCCCACAAATAAACCCCTTAGAAATAAAGAGCTGACAATTTATTCCACTTGGATCAAATTCTATCTGGTTATTTTTAGCATCTCCTCTGCCTGGTGGTGGAAGCAGTGCCCCATAGCAATGAGACCGGAGCCTGCAGTTCCTCACAGACCTGGGAAGCTCTAGCCGATCTTTTTAGGACCAGGCCCTCAGTACAGCCCTGATAAAGTAGGTAGCAATTATCACAGGTAGGTTTGTGCAACTTCCCTTTCTTCCCACGGTGAACTTCAGCATGGGTTACACTAGCTGGCAGAAGAAGAAGAAGAAACTGGAATGCCATCTATGTGGATTTTCAGGCATTGCACTGATAGCCACTGCTGATATGAAGAACTCACATTTCACTGTTTTTTCCTCTTTTTCCTAGCCCATTAGCTCAAACCCACCTGTTTTACCCAACAGTATGGCCCATACAGTACACAAGAGCAGTGGTGTTGGAGGCAAAGTCTACTTCCTATGGCTCCAGTGTGGGAGGACGTCTTGTAATTAGGATGCACCTGCAAGCACATTCTTGAGCTGCTGGTTTCTTTACGCACGTTTTCGTTTCCAACATGAATGGCTGTTAGCAATGCGTGCTCATGGGGTCCTTTGAAGAGAGGAAAGAAATCTGAAGAACAATAAGAGTGGAAATGATTCAGTGAAGGAAACGTAATTTTCCTGTGCAAACATGTAGCTCTAAGACCCCCCTCACACACCCAACAATTATAAGGCAAATCCAGAACTATCGCGCTTTGCATGGCTGGAAGTTGCGTTTATTTTCTGAGCAAGCTCTGACTAACTCAAAGTGCACCTAATGTGTTCCCAGAGGACCCCCTGCCAGCTTTAGCTTTCATCTGAATTGCTTCATCCGTAAGATTTTGAGCGTTTGGGAGAATCCCCGTGCCCTGGATGCTTCACACAAAACAGCTTGTCGGGGAGGGAGCAGCTCGGGCGGGACGGAGGGGGCAGCAGCAGCTTCTTGGCAGGGCAGCCTGCGCGTCCCCGGGCGAGCCCAGCCCTCGCTGCAGGGACACGTCAGCTCCCGCATGGAAAATACACCTCCCTCGTGCTGACGCTCTCAGTGCAATGCCTGTTTGGAGCCGGAGCCCCGTGCCACCCAGGAGAAATTCTCCAGCCTTTGGTCTGGGTGTCGGGCAAGGAGTGTCGTGTGGGGACCTTGTCTTGCCGGCAGCTTGGGTTCTCTTTGCAAAACAGCCAGGGAACAGCTTGAGGTTCCATTTCCTACTAGTTAGGCAGTTGGTGGATCCTAGCAAGGCTGGACAGTCACATATCTTGAGTAAGTCTGGGAGAAGCTTCCCGGGAGAACAGCTTTGCAATGAAGCTACACAAATAAAGGTCTGTTGTGAAAAATAAGCCGTCCTGCCGTCCCCTTGGCAGGTTCCCATGCACCTGCTGTGCTGTGTGTCATTCCTTGGTGGTTTTCATTTTCATTTTTGCAGAGTTATGCCATTGCTAACCACAGGGCTACACTATTGCCATTGCCAAGGGTAACAGCAGACGGAACTAGAGCGTTTGGCGACTGCAGATTGCCTAAGCCGGAGTATGAAATCTCAGCCTGCAATGCAAACAGCTGTGCTTGACCAGCCTGCGCCTGTTTGCTTTTTGTGCTGTAACTGGAGCTGCTGGGCTGCCCTTGGAGAGCTGGGGGCAGTGCTGGTGCGGTGGCACTGCCCACGTCTGCCCCTAAAACAGCCTGAGAGCTCAACGCGACCAGGGCTGGTGGCCAGGGCTGGGCAGCAAGAGCATGGGGCTGGCAAGGAAGGGAAGGAAACTGCGCCCGCAGCGCGGGAGCCTTCGGCTGCTCTGGAGGAGGACTCCGCAGCAGGGCTGTGTTGCAACAATATCACCGGAGAGTTTTAAAGTCTTGATTGGAATTAAAAACATGCCCGAAGCAACGCCCCCGCTGGGGCGGAGCGGCCCTCGAGCTCCTTCCCGCCTGGCACGGCCGGATCCCGGAGCCCGGGCAGGGCCAGGCTCGTTGGAGCGCCCGGACTCCCCTCGGCAGCCGCGGCCGAACGGCTCTAGCTCCAGCACGAGGCCTGACGCGATGCTGATGGGCGCGAGGAAGCAGAGACGCGGGCAGCATGTCCGGGGGCTGCGGGGAGAGCGGTGAGAGCATCTGCCCGCGCGTGGAGCCGGGACACCCCTGACGTCTCTGCAATGCCAGGCCCAAGGCAACGCGCTCAGCCTTTCCTCCGCGTGGGAAAGCACCCAGGCAAGGCTTGACTCCGCTGCCGCCAGCAGGGACAATACCGGTGTCCCCAGAGTGCCCAGCAGGTAAAGCCCTCGCTGCTGCCCGCGCGCGGTGGATGCCTTGCAGCTCCTGGCCTGGGCGGCCGTGGGGCTCACGGGCTGCCCCACCAGCACACACACACCGAGTGCCCGTGGCCCCGGTGCCACCCTGCCCGTGCTCCTCCCTCCTGCACCGTCCCCCGTGCAGCGCCGAGCCGCTCGTGCCGGCGGCAGGAGCCCTGGGCCGCGGCTACGCAGTGCGCTCAAAGGTCGCCTGGCGCACGATCGAACACGTACCAGGCAGGAGAATGATTCTCAGGCTCTCCAGCGTATCCCGCCCTGGGTCCGTATGGCACAGGCAGTCTGGCACGGGGCCTCCCACTGCTTTCCCATGGCAGCTTCCCACCCGGCCACCAGCCCTGTCCAGGGACCATCTCTGCTTATCTGCTTCCCCATGCACCTGCGTGGCTCTGTGCGCCCTGGCTCTTTGCACCCCTTGCAGCAGGCTGCTCTGCTCCTATTTCCACATTTCTGCCCTGCTTAATCACCTTGAAAGCGCCAGCATCCCAAAGCATCTCCCTTACCACAGCTACGTGTGGTGGGCACAGGCTTTTGGTCACATCCATGCCTCTGGCACCTTCTTGGCCTCCCTGGAGATGTTAGGGAGAGGCTGGCAGGGAAGGCAGTGGGCAAGTCTCTGCAGAAGTCCCAGTGGGAGCCAGCAAGGGACACACATTCTCTTCCCAATGTTTGGAGAGGTTTGGCTCTGGGCTCCAAGTGCTGTTTGTGACCTGCATGAGTCACTAAAACACCCAGAGTCGTTCGGGATGGACAATACGGATCAGCCAGGAAAAATCCAGGGCGCTGCTGTCACCTCCCTGTGGCCGCTGCAGGGACGTGTCCCCTGAGCTGAGAGAGCTGCTTGTTATCCAGGCTCCCTGTCCTCCATGGCTTGTTTATAAGGATGCAAACATCTACAGAGTGAAAAAAATCACGCCCAAAACCACCGGCTCCCAGCGGAGCGATGTGTGCAACCTCCTCCTCCTCCTTAAACGCGGGTGCGGCGCGGGGGCCGCCCGGCCGCGGGGGCACCCGAGGCAGTGCCGAGACTCCCGCACCGCGGAGCGAGCGGCGACGGCGCCAGGCGGAGGCGTCGCCGGCGTCACCCAAGGGTGCCGGCCGGCCGGGGGGCAGGACGAGCTGCGGCCGCGACGCTGCCGCCCGCTCCTCCCCAGCCCCGCTCCCGGTCACGTTAAGTTGCCTTTGGGGGCAGCGCGATCCCGGCAGCCGGCCCGGCCGGGGCCTGGGCCAGCCCCGCTGCGGCGGCCGGGCTCGCGCAGCAGCGCGCGGCCCCGCTCGCCCCCGCGGCCGCCGGGATGATCATTAACGTTGATCATTAACGTCCTCCGCTGCCTCCCCGCCGCAGCTCCCCGGGATCGGCTGCGGCCTCCAGGCAGGTGAGAGCTGCCGGGCGGCTGCCCTGGGCGGCGCCGAGCCCCCAGCGGGAGCGGGAGCGGGGTCCCCGGCGGAGCGGGAGCCGGGGCTTGGCGGACGGGGATGCTGCCCGCAGGGAGCGGAGCCGGGAATGGTCCCCCGGCCGGCACCGCTGCCCACGGGCGCGCAGCCCTGCCGGCCCCTCCTGGCCGCGTGGGTCGCGGCGCTGCTCGGCCGCCTGCTCTGCACCAGCCCAGAACGGCTCTTTATTTGCCGCTTTGCGCAGCTCGCTCTTTCCTGCCATGTTTCAGGCACGGGGTGCGGGGGTGGGGAGCCTGGACACCGTGCTGCCCGTGCAGGGAGCTTTGCTGCTCACCCGCTCCCACACTTGGCACCTTTCGGATGCGGTGTTTGCTGGGGGTGCTGTGACCACTGCACCCCCGTGGGGAGAGGAGCTGCGCCGGAGCAGTGCCAGTGACAGGCACCAGCCCCTTCCCAGCCCTGGAGCAGAGGGAGGCAGCTCTGCATCTGCAAGGACCGTGTGGCTGCTTCCCCAGTGAGGGGACCCTGAGTCTCTGCTCAGTCCCTGATCCTCTTGTGGGCTAAAATATTCCTTTAAAGCAGGTAGAAGCTGCAGAGATCCCATTCCCCTTCCTTTTCCTTTAGCTTTCTTTGCTTTCTGCCCAGAGCCGAGATTTCTTTATGGGCCACTGGGTAGGGATTTCCCAGGAGGGAGCATCCCTGCTGCTCAGGATCCCGTGTGGCTCCATCCAGGTATGAGGCTGGTATTGGGCTCTGCTCTGCTCCTTCTGAGGCCTGGGGCTGCCAGGGCAGGGTGCTGGATGGGCTGCTCCAAGCTCTGCCCCTTCCTCCTCAGCACCAAAACGAACACGGAATCTTCCTCGGGAAGGAAGTGACATGAATTCTCTTAGATTTTTCTAAGCAAAGAGGAAATCAGAAGAGGTCCAGCTGTGAAAACTGGATGTGCGGCTGCCAGTGTCTCTGATAAAAGCATCCACATTTGTTTCAATTTCTTCTTCCTCCCCATCTTTTTCTTGCCTCTCCTCCGCTGCTGCCCGCAGCGAAGCAGTCCTGCAGCGGCTGCTGCCTTTCCGTGCCCCTCGCACACGTCCTGCTGCACGCGCAGCTGGTGCAACCGGCGTCCCGTGTCCTGTGCCTCCTGCCTGCCTCTCCTAGGACGTGTCTCCCTCTGGAACAAGCTGCCAGGGCAGGGCTTGGAGCCATCAGTGAGCATGGATGTGGGAGAGGGCGATCCCGGGCGCAGGGTGCCCTCATCCAGCCTTGCCTGCTGGGTCACGGGCTCCTCCTAACCCTCCTTGCAGGGCTGCCAGCCGGCATGGCGAGCCCGGGCACGAGCGAGCCCGAGTGCTCCCTGTACGAGGAGCTTCCCGATGAGAGGATGGAGCACAACCGGAGGCTGGCCGTGGAGGAGCTGCTCGCCACGGAGGCCAGCTACGTTCACAACCTGCAGCTGTGCATGTGGGACATCCGGGCGCACCTCCAGCAGAAGCAGGTAGAGCCGGGCTCTTCAGCCTTGTGGCATCCAGATGTTCACAGCTGTGCTCCAGGGCGGGCTGAAGCAGGGCTGGAAGGGGCAGAGCATCCAAGTCTCCAAGTCTTTCTCTACTGGTTTGGCCATATTCAGATGCTTTGGGGAAATCCTGGGTTGTACAGATGCTTGAATAGACACTGGTCCAGTACCACTGTCCTAATACTACTATCCCTACTTCTGTAGCATTAGAAAGACCTCATTACCTCACACAGGAGCAAAGACAGGTCTCAGTATTTCCAAATACCTCCTGAAATGGAGACTTGCTTCCAGAAAGCTCCTCAGGTAACATGGGAGGCAGGTGGAAGAATGCAAGGACACAGGAAAAGCATGTTCCACCTCTGTCTAACTCATGAGGCTTGTCCTGGGGCAACTTCATTCCTTTCAGCTGCCTGATCTTGACCTGGAAGGACTCTTCTCAAACACCGACGACATCCTCCATGTCTCCAGAAGGTTCCTGGAAGGTCTTAAGGCCACAGCTGACCAGGAGTCCGAGCAGCTGCTCTTCATCTGTAAGTGGAGCAGGGGCAGGAGAGCGCTCCCAGGCCAGGACCACACCGGTGCTGTGATCTGGGGGATCCCATATGAATGGACTGGGCTTTGCAGCCTCGGTTTCCTTCCCCAGGTGCTCTGTTCCAAGAGTTCAAGGAGGAGATGCAGACCGTCTATAAGATCTACTGCGCTAGCTATGAGCATGCCCTGATGCTGGTGGAAAGCTACCGGAAGGATCCACGGCTGCAGGAAGAGATTTTGGACACCCTCCACACAACAGTGTAGGTACCTAATGCTGGGGCCACTGGCTCCATCTCTGTTTTATGTACTGGGCTTGTCCTTCTCTGCTGCCTGTGTGGGCAGATGCCCCAGACCCCTCGTCAAATCAAGTGTTGTGGCCATCCCCGTCACAGTGACGTGGGTCTAGCCCTGGCTGTCCTGTCCCGTGAGCTGGGTCGCAAACAGGTGCCCTGCACCCGGAGAAGCAGGGATGGCAGTGGGGGACGTGCGGGGGTCCCGTGTTCCCTGCTCTGGGCACAGCGACGTGGGAAGGAGAGGAGCCGGGTGCCAGCGCTCGGCTCCCGGGCTCCTTCCCCAGCGCAGGCGCCGATCCCAAGGCCGTTAGCCAAACAAACGCAGCCCTGTTCGAAGCGGTGGGCGCCCACGCCGGCGCTGGCAGGGACGGCACTGCCAGGCACAGGGCGCCACAGCCCCGCAGCTGGCCCAGAGCGGGGATTCACAGCCCGAGCTGCCCGCCACGGCCCTGGACGCTGCAGCACGGACGGAGAGGCGGGTGCCTCCCCCAGGAGCTCGCAGAGAACTTGGCAGAAGCAGGGAAATGACGGGGCAGGAGAAGCAGCCTCCGCGCCACTGCCGCTCTCCTCCTCAGGCCTCACACAGGGGCTTCAGACCTCAGCTTCTTCCTGGTGATGCCGGTCCAGCGGGTCACCAAGTACCCGCTGCTGCTGCAGAAGATCCTGGAGAACACCCCCGCCAGCGCCAGCGCCTACCCAGCGCTGCGGAGCGCGCTCAGCGCCATGGCCGAGGTCAACGCCAACATCAACGAGTACAAGCGGCGCAAAGACGTGGGTGAGCGGGGGCAGGTGGGAGGACCCAGCAAGCCCCAGACCAACTCCAGTTGTGTCCTGCCAGCATTGCAGTAATTTCTAAGTCCGTTTAAAGATCTCCCTTTTTCCCTTCCTGCACCTTCCTCATCCATAGGAGCTGTGAACCCCCCAGACAGGGACAGCCCCAAGCATTTCCTAGCTCTGACCCTGCCTAGGGCTGCAAGGCACCGCTTTCCTGCTCCTACTGCCAATGTCACTCTGGATAAGAGGCAAGATAGCAGCCTGGCATGGAGGGAGCTGAAAATAAAAGGGGCTGTTGGCATTTCCAGAAGTGAGAAGTCGGAACAGTCCTGCCCTGGGGACAGGAAAATGGAGCTCTTCACTTTGCTTGCTCTTCTTCTTGGTTTTAACAATTTTCCTGTGCTTAATTGATCCTTCTTTGATGTGCATTACCCTTGCTCTGCTGATCACGATGCTTGGGTTCCTGGCCTCGGTGCGGTTTCCAGCCTCACGGCTCCTCTGTTTCGGCTGCTTGGGCTGCGCAGGGTTCAGTACTTGCTTGTGGCTCTTGTTTGCCCACGCTGACCTCCTCGCTGCCCATCATGATGCACGGGCAGCGAGGCCACTTGCGTGCGAGGCAGGGGCAGTGTGAGCAGCCTCCTTGCCTCCCCTCTACGGAGGGGTCCCCATCACCTGGAGGGCCGTTCCTCCCCTCTCATCGCCTCTTCTCCTTCCCATCTTGCGTGCCCTGCACCCGGGGCAGCAACCAAGTACAACAAGGCGGAGCACCTGACACTGCGGGACCGCTTGGCTCGCCTCAACACGCACTCCATCGCCAAGAAGACCACGCGCCTGAGCCGGCTCTTCATGCACGAGACCGGCATTGCGGCCAAGGTAGGGAGCCTGCCGGCCACCCCGCAGCCCCTGTCCTCTCTCCTCATGCGGCCAATGCTGACACCCAGTGGTCCGTGCAGTAAAGGACCCATTTTCCAGCAATGCAGCGGTGGCTCCTGGGCTCTGACTTCAGGGACCTGTGCGGTAGTGGGAGGCTCAGGTGTGGACCTTGCTCCCTTCCTTCCTTGGGGAGGGCTGGGAGCATTAGGGGGGAACATGTTGGCCCCCAAAGGTCCTTGGGCATCCCAAGAAAAGGAGGCAAACGTAGTGAAGCGAACCATTTCTTGAGGCTGGGCTCCACAGGCTCCACATGCCCTTCTAATGCCCTATTTTTGCATGCATCCTCAAATCCCTCAAGTTGGGCCCTTTTGGACTCAAAGTCCTGAAGTTTCCCAGGTTCTCCCTCTCTCTATCTCCCCAGCACTGAGTCTCAAGCAGCGCCTGGCTTCATTTTGCATCATGATCCAGTGGGGGGCATTGCCTACACCCAAACCATCCCTGCCTGTCCGGGACTCCCCAGGTCTGTGGGACAACGTGACCTTTTCCTTGCAGACAGAGGACAAGGAATACGATGACCTAGAAGAGAAGTTCCAGTGTGTGGCATCCAGCATAACTGCACTGAAGGAGAACATGGGGTCCTATGTGAAACATTTAGAGGTAAAATCCTTGACCACTGGCAGGGCAGTGGCCCCATCCAGGCCCCAGCACCTCCTCAGTGGGGTTGCAGGATGCTTTCAAAGCCCATGAGATCAGTGGAAGCTCCATACCAGGGCAGCTTCTACAAGTCTGAGGCCTGATTTCTTCCTTTGCTTCCTCCAGGCGCTCATGTTGTCCACCCCACACAAGCATGAGCTGCAGATGGACGAGGGGGTTGCCCAGCAGTACCGCCGCTTCGCAGAGTGTCTCCATCGCAGCGTCCTCCCCGAGTTTGTGAGTGCCCCTTCCCCTCCCGGAGGTCTCCTCAAGCTGGGCCTGTCTGGGAGAGGGTTTCAAGCAAGGATTTGGGGCTGTCGTTCCACAGAGGCAGCGTCTGGACAGGCTGGTGTGCCAGCCCCTCTCCAGCCTCTCAGACATGCTGGTGGGGCCGCAGCAGCTGGTCAAGAAGCGCCTGGACAAGCTACTGGACTACGAGGAGATCCAAGAGCGCAAGAGCGAGCTGGGCAACGTGACATACGATGAGGAGGCCGCCATGAACACCTACCTGGCGATCAACGCTCTGCTCGTGGCCGAACTGCCACGGTTCAACCAGGTGGCTGTGCAGCTGCTGGGGCAGATCCTGGGCTCCTTCGCTGTCCTTCAGCGGGACTTGGCCGCACGGGTCCTGCAAGAGGCAGAAAAGGAGCTGGAGCAGGTGAGAATGACCCCCTGTTATGTGTGCCCAAACTGGCCAAATTTCAGTTTCTTCATTGGCAGGGATTGTCCTGCTCTCTCTTTGAGGAGTGCTACATGCGTTTTATTGATGTGGTGCCCAAGATCAGTGTTCACTTTGAGCTCCACTGAGCTCTGCATCAGGCAGGCAGATGGATGAACATCTCTCTGGCCTGAGGAATGAACATCACTCAGAGCAGTCTCCTGGGAGACATCTCTCAGGATGCATCACTACACAGACTTTCTAAGCAAACCTGAGGATAATAGCTCAGGCCCTCACCTGACTCATGACCAGATGAGAACATCATGCAACCACATAAAGATATCCTCTCACGTTGTAAGTATCTAGTCATGAGGGCTGGATTCCCCCAATCAGTCAGAGATGCTTAAATGTACATGTCTATTCCTGAGCTACATCACACCCCGTCTTCCTTTTCAGCCAGATGGTTTATGAAGGAACAGTTATTCTGCCCAGACCAGTTTTAGATGCAGGCTTTAGGAGGAGACACATCTACCACGTGTTCTACTGATGGAACCAAACGCTCTCCCCAGCTCTAGAGGGAGCCCAGGACCATGATTTTAAGTTGATAATCCCACTCATGTTGTGATAAGGCCCCCTTCATGTGAGCTGGGTCCATTTTCAGCTACTCTTCTCCAGAGCATGTGACCCAAAGTCAGAAAGGGGCAGCTTTTGTTGCCAGAAGGGACTGGAAGTTAGGTGTAAAGTGCATCTGTAGATGCGAGGCTTGTTCTCTTGCTTTCTCCTTTTCTTTCTGCTCTTTTGATCCTATTCAGGGCTGTTCTCTAAGGACTTCTCTAATCTCAGGGTCTGTCTTCACAGATGCCCCACAGCCACATGCCTCTGCCCAGTTTCTGGAAGTTGATGGAGGACACTGTGCAGCAGTCTGGAGCTCAGCTCCATACCTTCTGCCAGAAGTTTGAGACGGTTACGCCAAGCCCTGTGTCACAGGTAGGAGCTGGGAAGGGGCTTTCTTGCAGGCCTGCTAGATGAAGGCCTCCTAGCACAGCAGAATGTCTCCTTGGAGGGGAGGTTGGCTCAGAGATAGGGGCATGGAGGGGCTTGCCACAGTCATAATTGCCTCTGTCCTTCGAGAGGGGCTGTCAGGAAATAATGGCAAACCAGGAATACCCTTAATATTTCTAATTCTGGAAACTTGCCTCCAAACCATGAAGATAGTTACTATGAAAGAGTTTCTACTCCGATAGCTCGCTGGGATGTAATCACTCAGAAAGAAGGAGGGAGCCCTCAGTCTCCTATGTTTCCAGTCAAGAACTCCTTTGTCTCTTGCTCTCCTTTAGCCTCTGAATCCTGCTGAGGAGAGGAAGGTCCTTTCCCTTGTGAGCAGACATGGCCCAGATAAACTTTACCAAGTGACAAGCAACATCAGCGGCAGCAGGGATTTGGACCTGACCTTGCAGAGGGGACAGATCGTAGCTCTGCTGCAAAGCATGGACACTAAGGGGAACACGAGCAGATGGCTGGTGGATGCTGGAGGTACTGTGAGAGCTTCAGACGTTTTCCTTCTGGGCCTTCTTCTGCAGGGCTTGCTCAGTTAAAACCCTCCTCTGCTTTGCCAGCTACACCTGTAGCCATTAGATGAGGTTTCCCTGTCCACTCCTTGTGGCAATGCTTGTGAAGTATCACGGCTGGGAAAGGAGAATTAACCCAAACAGAAACACCTTGAAGCCACTTTGCTGGGCTTTACTGCTGGATGTCGCCAAAGATGGGGTGGTTTGAACAGAGCTCCTGTGTCTTGCTAAGCAGTTAGTATTGCCCTCTCCTCCAGCCAACCCTAAATGTGCAGCTGGTCCCCATGAACCACGTGTGTCCCTGTCCTCCAGGTCCTCGGGGGTTTGTCCCTGCTGCAAAGCTCCAGCCCTACTGCCCAGTGCAAACCCAGCAGCCCAGGGTGCAGGTGCCAGCCCCGGAGTGCGGGACGGAGAGGAGGCGACATTCCTATGCGCCGCCTGAAGCTCCCAGGCCTCAGGTCTCCACGTTCGCACCAGCTTTCCAGGTGAGAATGTGAGACATTCCAAGGATCACTCCTAGCAGCCCTGTCGGCTCAAATACTGATCCCTGTGTTTGCAGAGCATGGGTGGATGCACAGCCCTGGTTTTGCAGCACCCATTGGTCATCATGTGCTCCAGGTGTGCCTAGCAGGGAGGTCCGTGCCCGCCTGGCTCAGTGCCCTGCTGGAAGCTGGTGTGGATGCAGTGGGATGAACCATCGTGAGGCACCAGGGCCCTCTGGAGAGTGCTGCAGGGGTGGTGCCCATCTCCCGCCGGGACCAGGGAGGGAATGAGCGAGGGCAGCGATTTGCAGGTGTCAGGAACAGCATGCTGCCCGTGTGCCATGCTGCCTCCATGTCCAAGTGTCTAGAAAGGTCAGCAAAGTGCTCCAGGGAGCTGTGCTTAGTGGCACGTGGAGTCACCAGTCTCCCTGCACTGGCTTTTTGGAAACAGCTTCATTTCCCACGGAGTGAGACCTCAGGTGCCTTCTCTAGATCCTGCCCTGCTGTGCATGCCCTTTCCCTCCCTGACCTTACCACCAGCAAGGGCTTCCTCTCCTCCTCTGCCTTCCGCAGGTGGTTGCAGGTTTCTCCTTCGCGGCCAGGAGTCCCCAGGAGGTCAGCGTGCAAGCGGGGCAGCCGGTGTTGGTGCTGGAACCACACGACAAGAAGGGCAGCAAGGAGTGGAGCCTGGTGGACGTCAACGGCCAGAAGGGCTACGTGCCGTCCAGCTACCTGGTGACGGTCCCTGTGGAGAAGCCCCTGGGCTGGAGCTTACCCGTGTGACCAACCCGGCTTCACGCTGGTCTCAAGAGAGAGCCATCCGCTTGGCACCGACGCTGCGCGCCGTGGGAAGCGATGGAGAGGGAGGCAGCGTGGGAGGGCCCTGGGCAGGGAAGGAGGTGGGAAGCCCTGGAGGACGTTGCCCAGGGTGCAAGGAGTGAGGTGAAGGGATGTGTTTTGTGCTGGCACACGCAAGGCAGGGAGGTGCGAGGCCGTGGTGCCCCACACGTGCTTGCTTGCTGTGAGGCACGGCAAAGGGAAGGCTCGTGAGGAGAAGGCGGGTGGGCTGCTGGTTTTGCAGGGGTTTGCTGAAATTCCTGTCAGGGAGGAAAGTGTCCCTGAGGCAAGGAGACAGAAGCTGCCCCAACTTAGATCAAGGCCAAGGGGGTTGTTAGCCTGGCACTGAGTTGCTGGTGCATCCAAAGGGGAAATGGTGGCGTGAGTGCAGAGAGACAGGGACTCAGCTCCTTACGGGGACCGGGTGTCCGCGTGGCCACCACCCATGAAGTGCCACTCCGGCCCCTTCGGCAGCATTATCCACGATGCCTCATGGGCCGAGACTCCCGAGGCTCCGGTTCCTCTCCTGGCGACCATGTGCCGCCCCCGGCCTGCTTCCCGCTCCGCACAGCGAGGCTAACGCTGCTCATGTCCTTGTCTGCAGTCTCGTGGCGCAGATCGCTCTGTGTGTGACATGGCCATGGTATTTACTGTGACTAATGTGCTGGCAGTACAATATGTCTCTACACACACGGATAACTCAATGCTTCCGAGTTTGGGTCCCCGTTGCCACCGGGTCCTGGGGGTCTCACAAGTTCACTGCACAGCTGACGCTCCCCTGCCCCAACACAGCACTGCCGAAACGACAGCACTGAACCTTGCTTCTACGTGATAAACACTAACAGGAAAAACAAACGAAAATCCCAAAGAGTTGGGCACATCCTCTTACCGTCATTTTTTTTTCTCCAAGACAATCCATGACTTCTTTTTGTGGTGAGTTCAAGCAGCCTTCACCAAGTGGCTGGGCATCACGGATCAAGGCTTGGGAGTCATGGGATGTTGATCGAGATGTTTCTCCCTTTTCGCTCCTGATTTCCTAAAGCTTGTTCTTCTGTCACGCTGCAAAATTATCCATTTAAAAATAAGCACAAGCCAGGAGGAATGCAGGAAAGCAGCTATGTTAACTCAAGTGCATGACAGCAATATAAACTGTTCTTAAAGTTAATCCAAGCAATGGCATTAAAATTCAGGAACTGTACTGCAAGCAAAAATATTTTCATATACACAGATTACATTTCATAGAAAGACATAATTTAAGGTATTTAGATCTTTCAGGCTCGATATCACTTATGTGATATTCTTTGCATTTCAAGATCTTGGTTGATCTTCTCACATTACTCCCTTACTATCCTTATAGTGAATAAATACACACAAAGATAACGTCCAACTCTCCTTAACGTGAAGAGCTATATATTTTTAAGGATATTACATAATGTTGTAAAGGCAGCACCCAAACTTATCCAATATATATCAAATGCAACTTCTCACTTGCATTAAAATACTCGCTTGGCAATCATTTAAAAGGAGCATTTAGAATCAATTTCTCTGTAATCTTTTTCAAGTATATCTTATTAAAAACAAATGTGTTTAATCAGACAGTGATGGTGAGATCGCTTTGAAGCCATAAATGAAGCTTAGACACGGTTATTTTCTGCAATTTCTCCATCACAGTCAGACAAGTGGTGATTAACTAGAGAGCCAGCGAGCAGCCAGCCCAGCTTAACCATCAGATCTAGAAAGCCAAAGTCAGTGATTTTACTGCAATCAATTTTGAAACAATTAAATAGCATATAGTTTATATAAAATACTTGTCAACAAGTCAGCAAGTATTTGCAATACAAAAAGTGAGTGCTGCTGAACACAGACTTAGCACACAATTATTAGCCAAAATAGTGCAATTTGAATCATTTTGCAATCGACTTTGAAGAACACTTGCACATCCTTTACTGTTAAAAAGAAAAATAGAAAAAGGAAATAACATTCCAACAGTTTGAACATATCTGCAGTATTTACTCAAATATTTCTGCAGATAAGAAGTTCCCTTTCCAAAACATAACAATTTAAGCTGTCTTAGCTCTTTAAGCTGATTTGGAACCATTTTAAGTCTATCAGCTGAAAGTCAGTCCCCTTCTTTGCAGTGACTTGCTTAAGCTCAGCTGCTTTGCCAGGTACTAAAAACATATATTCCATTATAGATACCCTCTCCCATAAAGTCCTGCTCAGCACTGCTTTTGATGTAGTGACATAGGTTATGAAAAAGAGGCATGCTGCCATCAAACTACTAGTGTTCTTTCATGAATTTTTTGTAGCAAACTGAAAAAAAATCATGATTTTGATTCCCCTACGTAACTGTAACTTGATGAATCCTAAGCCGTGAGGCTGAACCAAACTCTTTGCATGCTTTCTTGTAGAAATGTGGTGACAATTTCATACTTGTACAAAACCCAAGGATTTTCTTACAGAAGTCCCAAATACCCCCTTAATTTTATTTTTATAGTGACAAGAACTGAGATGAGATACAAGCAAGATTACTCTATTTCTCTTAAATTTATACCAAATTTGTGTAGATCATGTCCAAAATAAGTCAACTTCCCTCAGTTATTTAATTGGAGGATGGCCACATTATCCCAAGGTAACTTTCAGAAAGCAATTAATTTCAACAACACATAGTTATTAAAATCCACACTCTTGCTGTGCTGTAATGATTTCCTCAAGACAAAAAAGCATGTATGATCACCTGAGAACTCTATTATTACTCTAATATATTTTTTCACTAAGTGTAACAAAAATTAACTCTCCTCTAGTGATTGCAGGACAGAAGAGAACTGTGTGTTCTCTTCAAAGACAGGAAAGAGCTGGCCTGCTTAATGCAATTTTGGGCTCATTTCACGCTTGATTTTTAAAACTGGATAATTATTACATTACAAAGTCTTTCCTATGCTAGAAAGAACTTCAAATTTGGGTCCACAGCTTCATATAGAGGCACTTACCTGCATCTGCACCCTTCACACAACATTTTCTCAAGGACTTCTCTACGAGCATCTTCAACTATCTTTCCTTGCCATTTTAGCTGCAAGAAGCTTATTTGTATTATGACTGTGCCAGAAAGTTTGAATTTGCTTGTAATAAGACCATAAAACCAAGTAGGACATCATGTTCAATTCGGTTTGGTTAAGATCGACACGATCACTTTAAATACCAGCAGATCTCAACTTACTCAGTATTCTGGTTTTCTGTCATCCTCATAAATAACTGGCACTTTCAGCAGGTGTTTTATGCCTCATAGGTTACCGATTTAATATTCAGATCTTGCTATTGAGCAGTCAGCGAGCTGCCATGCCATTGTCAGGAAAACACATTAGTCTGATTTCCCCCCCCCACCTCTCATTATAATGAAAACAAAACTTAAGTAGTCATGCCCCTCTTCCCATAAAAATAATGCAGTGGGAGCGTGCAGCCTTCCTACCAACCTATTAAGTGAACTCGAGTGAGCTGAGACCTGGCATGGGGTAAAGTCTGCTAGAAGTAATTTTCTATTATGTGCATTGATCGCCTAATAAAAATGTCAGGTTGAGGCTGAGGTTTGGATGATGTATGAAACAACACGTGGCTCTGCATCCTCTAAATAATGGTTATTATCACTTTGGAGCTCGGGCACAGAGGGGCATCAAACCTCTTGGCTTTACTGAGAGGGCAGCCAGTGCACAGGGATGTGCTCCAAAGCTTTGGAGCCCAACAAGAAGCCCAAAATCAAAACGCTGGGAACAGAAGGGATTTTCACAAATCCCAGCAAAGCCGTCCTGCGGCGGCCTCGGCAGCGTTTAACATCGGGTTTTGCTCTAAAAAACACACGCGTCATGGGACACAATCTACCAGATCTTGCCTCCGAGCAATTTGTGAACAGAATTTGTTGTTTCAATATATTTTTAAAAGGCTTATGCCCTAATTTCACTTCCAAATTACAAGTTCAGGATGGAAACAGAAAAGCACTGGATATTTATCACTCCTTGCACAGCAGCATTGAACAGGCTCCAAGCTCCAAGCTTGATGAGAGCCCTGCAGCATTTATCAAGCGTTTCAGCACCCACGTCGTGCCACGCAAATGAGTGACAGCTTTAAAGGAGCCCAGTTAGCAGAATCACAAAGGGTTGGGGCTCGCAGCGGTGAGGTGCGGGAACAATGCAGGGCACTGCATTTGGGAACACGCTGCTTCCCTCTCCCGGCTCCCCCAAGGGGATCACGGAGCACTCTGTGGTGAAGCAGGCAGCAAGTGGATTTTTAAAAAGCAGCCTGTGCTTAGTACTAGAAGGATTAATCTGCCCCTCAAAATGGCTTTCTAAAGCTGCTAAAGTCACGTCAGCCCGTTCTGGGAAAGTGAAAGGGCGCTAAATCCATTAACATTTTAAGCCACTTCACATCTACTAATAACATTGCCACGAGGCATTAGCAGTATGAGTAGAAAGAGCACATAGCCAAGCGCTGAGTACTGCAAGCGAAGCAGTTATGCAGGGTAGGAGCCATCACCCAGGCAGCCTTCTGAATGGCATTTAAAACTAGCTTATCTTTAAGCTTAACTTTTGAGAGTTTAAGGGCTTGGTCAATTCCAAAGGAGAATTCTCCAAAGGAGAATTTCTGGGCATAGAAACTCCTTCTGTGAGATAGCCCCCAACCACATGAGCTCTAATGGCAGGAGATCGACCCCATCAGTTGCAGTCTGTAAACTAACAGGAAAAAAAATGCTGAGTATTTGTTCAGATGATCCATACTTGTATTCTAATTAATGAGAGCCTCACATGGGCTTCATATAACAGTACCTTGAACATGAGAAGGGAATTTCCCTTGCTGACAAAATACTCATGTAACTTCAGATGTTCTTTCAGGCGTTGAAGACTTCTGCATTTCCTCTTCCTTCCTTCCTTAAACAATGCCATTCTGCCTCTATCATGTCTACTGTCTCAGGCCACAGGCCCGTCACCTTTCTAGCTACAGATAAACAGCTCAACAAGAGATGTTTTTTACACCTTAAGTGGTAGGTTCTTACAGTAAATCAGTCTTAGGTACCCCAGGGCTGCTCAGGTTGGTTTACCTGGGGTGCAGAGAGGCTGCAGGCTCTGCACATGCTCTGGTTCCCCAGCACATGCTGCTCACAGGGCTCCTGCCCCATGTGGGCTCACGGCTTCCTTAGCCACAAACCGGCTCTTGCTCTTCAGCTGAATTCACTTCTCTGGAACGACTCCCTGGTGTGAAATCCCCCAGGGAGGAAGCGGCAAAGGAGGAATAGAAACTGCTGCCCTTGGTGCCGCAGCTCCCGAGTGCTCCGTTGGCGCGGAGTTTCCCACGGGCTGCCTCTCCCTGTTCCTTGGAAGCCAGCCGGGGTCTCGTGTGGCGCCAGGAGGGACCCACTGCTGCAGCTCACGGTGCACAGGGCTGCAGCAATGCCATGGAGGAAGGAGGTGTGGGTGCTGGAGCCAAGACCTAGCCCTTCCTGAGGGAATATCCATCCTGCTTGTGGGCACAGTGGTGCTCCCGAGCCGTGTGGGGTGCAGCAGCCCCAACCCAGCCCTGTGTTCCCACAGCTGACCCTTGTGCATTCCCAAACAGAGGGAGAAACCTGCCTCTAAGCTACGCAGGGCAACTTGAACTGCAGCGTGCTGCTCCAGGGCTTGATTGCTGTTGCAACAACACCCACAGCACAAGAAACCCCAAAGGAGCCTCTGTCCTGGGGAAAAAAAAGACAATTTGGGCTTGCTGAGACCAGGTGAGCAGTGTAAGGCACAAGGTGGGGAGGCACCTGCCAGCAGATCCCCTAGCTGGCTGGTTACACATGCGTTTGCTCCATAGGTCTCTTTGCAGCAGAGCCCCTCGAGGTGACCTGCTGAATGCGACGAGGATGTCACGGCCCGAGCAGCAAGAACTGTAGCTCATTCCGTAGGTGCTGGGGACCGTGAAAGGGAAACTCTGCTTGGTGACAAGTGACATCACACAGATGTCTGCAGGGTTATTTCCAGCTCCCCGTCTGAAATAATTGCTGTTTGCTCATGTCAAGGTCTCTGTGTAAGAGGCAAGTCTGAACCAAGTCTTCCTAAGGCTGTATTCCTTCTCTCGGATGTCAAGGTGGTTTGGATTTCCCCCCCAAAAAGGACAGCCTGTTCTCAGCCTCCTATAACCAGGAATTACCTCCTTCTCAGGGGGTTTCACAGGTAGCACAAAACACGTCTGTCCCATTCACTCCTATCTGCACTACCCTGAAGTTGCAAAGGAAAGAGCTGGGGAAAAGGAGGGCTGAAAGATGCTACAAAAGGATCTGCATCTTTCATGGAAACCTGATTTAGAGGCTGAAACACATCAACCACCACTGCCCTGTGCTGAAAGCTGGAGTGAAACACACTGGAAGAGTTAATAGAAAAGAAAAGGTGTCTAGTGCAGAGCAAAACATTGATTCAGTGGTGAAAAGAGGCGAGCTGGCCGTGAGGTGACCCCCCCTCCTTTGGCTCACATAGGGATGAGCATAAATCTTCTCCCCCAGTCCCAAAGCAAAGTTGGCAGAATTGGGCCCATTTTCAAGGAAATTGATTTCAATTTCATTTGCTGAGTTCCTACTAAAACTTTCCATAGTTCCCCTTTTGGACTGAGGCAGTCACGGAAGCGGGTCCCGCACACGCTGGGCTCTGCAGGTCCTTTCCAGCCCCCTGTTCGGATGGGGCAGCTGCAACTGCGCATCCAGGAGAAGCGACTTGTCTTAGCGCAGCCGCTGCGGCCCAGATGGGTGACTGCAACCGAGCTCAGTGTCAGCACGGAGACCAGGTCCACTCTGGCACCCAGCATGGAGAGCCACACGTCCTCACTCATGTGTCCATAGTCATGTGGTCCATGCTGCACCACAGTGTGGGGCCAGCCTGGACATGTCACCTGCAATGTCTGCAGAGCAGGATTTGGTGGGATGAGCCCCACAGGTCTATTTTGCTCAAATGCAGAGAGGGATGAAGAGTACATACAAAAATGCTGGCAAATAACCCAGTGGTCCATGAACACCTTCAGCAGGTTCTGGTCATCCCCAGTTCTCTGAGGGTTGCCTGGCCATGGAGCAATGGCGGCACTTCCAGCTGCATCCAGGAGGACAAATGAGTCTATAGAGATACAGCAGGGCAGGGAGCCTAGACCAGGTCACGCATCTCCATCTCTCACAGCTCAAGAAATTTGAGCTCTCAGACTGAAAAACTTAGTGCAAAATGAGCAGAGGAAAAAAGCAGCACTTTGGCATTGCTGGGTTGCCTCTGGGGCTGATACAGGCAGTGTAAAGCTCCATCCAGAAGCTGAGCAAGAAGGTTAATGATCAGCTGCAGTCATTTTATTTAACTCGGCAGGAATTGTTGTTGATTTATGCCAGCTGGGCAAGGGCCTGTTTGAAAGGGTGGTTGGTTTGCAGGGTTGTGGTGTGTAAGGAATAGGAGTGATCCCTTGTGTTTTCAGGGTGCAGGCAGGGCTCCGGGATGCACTGGGGCACCCAATCCTGGCCATGGCAGGTGATAAAAGTCCAAGAGGGCTTGAAAAGACTTTGCAGTGCTTTAAATGTCGCCCCTTCGTGCTGGCAAAACACCCTGCAGGGACTTTCCCAGCCGACGACGTAGCCCGCGAGATGGTGGAAGAGGGGGTTGTGCTGAAGTTCAGTGCGATTACACAAATAAATAAAGAAATAAATAAAACCAGCAACTTTTCCAGGCCCCAAAGGCAAGTAGGGAGCCGGCCTTTGCGGGGGACGGGGTTGCTGCCCGCCCCGCACCCCTCCTGCCGCCCCCTCGGGGGGTCCCGGCCGCGCCGTCGGGTGCCGCAACATCAGCGGAGCGGAGCCCCGGTGCGCGGAGCTCTGCCCGGCAACAGGTGACGCGGCGCGGGGCAGCCAATGGGGCGGCTCGGCGGCGCCGCGGGGCCGGGGGTGTTCGGCGGCGCGGCGCCCCCGACGCCCATTCCCCGAGGGCAGCAGCCATGGCCGAGGAGCAGCGGGACCTGCTCTCCACCTCGGACCGCGGCAGCGCCGTGCTGCGCGGCCCGGAGCCCTCGAGGTGCGGGGCGCGCGGGGGGCCGCAGCGCGGCCGCGGGGTGCAAGAGGACACCCGGGTCAATGGGGCTCTGTTGGGCCCATGGGGGCTTGGTGGGACGCAGTTGGGTTAACTGTGGCATGGCATGACCAGGGGGAGGGTGGAGGCACTGCTGGGCCAAGGGGGGCTTGGTGGGACATGGTTGGGTCAACTGTGCCATGGCGTGGCCGTGGGGAGGGTGGAGGCACTGCTGGGCCAAGGTGGGCTTGCGGCAGCTATGGGGCACCATAGGGACCTAGTGGGGCTATGGAGAAGGAGAGGGCACTATTGGGCTAAGGAGGGGGCTTGTCACGTCCATTTGGCCACTTGGGGCAGATGGTGGTTAATAGTGGCATGGCGTGGCCGTGGGGAGGAAGGGGACACTGTTGGGACAAGGAGGGCGGCTTGGCGCGACTATAGGACACCTGGGGCACGGTTGTGCTGAGCAGATGACGGCGTGGCTATGGGGTGGAAGGAGGCAAGGTGGGTCAAGGGACAGTGCGGTGCGGCCATGGGGTCAAGTGGGACCGAGATGGGCCAAGGGGGGCATCGCTTGGCTACTGGGGCCAGTGGCCGTATATGGGTTGGCTACGGGGCCAGATGTGGGCAGCAGGCTAAGGGGCATCTCAGTGTGGCTATGGGGCTGGTGGACATGATCCGGGACACAAGAGTGCCTGGGTTGGCGTGGGGCACATGGGGTTTTGTGGCAATGTAGGGTTGGGACCCCCTGTCCCTGGTCATCCCCTGGCCACCTTCACCCACCCTAGACGGGAGGAGGAGGGAGGAAAAGCACCGCAGCCAATCAGACGGCTAGGAATTGCTGACGTCAGAGGTAGCCAGGCAGACAGGCCAGGACCGATGTCAGATCCTGTTGTTCCCTGAGGAAAGGTGGCTTCGGAGCCAGCTCTGCCTGGGACGGAGGATGAAAGTGCAGCAGAAAGGCTGCATCCTAAATCCCTCCTCCTCTTATCTTGCCCCTTTTCTTTTGGGGAGGAAGAAATCATCCATCCGTCCTGATTAACAGAGCAGGCAACTTGAAGGAGCCCCCGGTAACCCAGAAGTGCTGCCCGGCAGGAAAGAGCAAGAGGAAGGAGTCAGACTGCAGGGACCGGCAGCACGAGGGCTGCGGGGCCTCCCTTGGCTCCGGCCTCCCTTGGCTCCGGCCTCCCTTGGCTCTGCCCTCCACCCGTGGGGGCCCGTGGTCTCTCCCACGTTGAGGGTCCCCGCGGTGTGTGACGTGTCCCGAGCCCCCCGCGCTGCCCCTGCCCTGCGCCCACGCGCTGCGCCCCGCGCGGCTCCCGCCTGCGCCCGGCGGGTTTCGCTTCCCCCCGGGCGCAGAAGGGACCCGCGCGGAGCTTTCGCTTCTGCAGCTGCGGAGCCAGCGCCCGCTCCCCGCCCCGGCCGCTGGCGTTCAAAAAGAGCCTTTTTAAGCGTCTTTAGTCACTTAGTGTTTTGGCTGAAGAGGTGGCAGAGGTTGTTGAGGGGCTCCATAACGTGAGAATTTTGTGGGGCGGAGCTGGAGGAGGCCAAGTGCCACCAGCCTCTCCTGGGTGCTAACTGGAAATCCCCGCTTGCGTGATGGACGTGAAGGTTGGGAGGAGCATCACGACTCCATGTCCCGCATCCCGCCTCCGTGGCCAGCAGCCGGGCTCGGCCACCATTCCCAGCTGCCAGGAGCAGAGCGGGCTCTGAGCTCCCTCCCTCGTGTCTTGCAGATCCCTGTTTGGGCGCAGAGCCGCCCTCTCAGCGCTCTCCATCCTGGTGGCCCTGCTCATCGTGGGCCAGGCCGTGACCGTCTACTTCGTGTACCAGCAGGGCGGGCAGATCGACAAGCTGACCAAGACCTCGCAGACTCTGCAGCTGCAGGCGCTGCAGAACAAGATGCCCTCGAGTCAGTAGCTCACGGGGAGGCGGTGGGAGGTGGGCACAGAGGCGGGTGGTCCCTTTTCTTGATCCCCCTCACATTGCACTTCCCTGGCAGATGCTAAGCCCGTGAGCAAGATGCGGATGGCCATGGTGAACATGCCCTTGGCCATGAGGAGCCTGCCACTTTCGCCCCCTTCAGACAGGATGGTAAGAGGTGCCCACCCCTGCCTTACACTGGCCGCTGCCTCTTGGCCACTGCCAACCTTGGGCTGACTCTTGCCATTGGAATTTTCTCTTCAGCCTATGGATATCATGGGGCCCGTGAGCAACAAGACGGAGGATCAGGTCAAGCACCTGCTGCTGGTAAGGTCCCCATGTGTCCTCTGGAGCATGCCAGCCTCCCACAGCTGCCCTCTGTACTGCCGAAGGTGGTGGGACACTGTGCTTTGAGCTGTCCCTGGGCTACATGGGCATCACTGGGGGCTTTCCTCCTGCACTCTTGGGGTCTCGGAGCTGGCAGGAGCTCCTGTACTCCTATAATACCTATACTCCTATAATATTGCACTCCATTTGATGGGAGCTTCATCCCATCCCTCCTTTTTTCCTTTGTCTTCTTCGTCTCACTCTGGTGGTTGCCTCTGCAGCAAGCAGACCCGCAGAAGATGTTCCCAGAGCTGAAGGACAACCTATTGGACAACCTGAAGCATCTGAAGAAGTCCATGACTGACGTGGATTGGAAGGTCAGTGTGTGGCTGCTCTCCTGCTCTGCCCCTTCTGGAAGCTTTTCCCTCGGGAGGCACTGGCATGTGTCCACCTGGGCATGGAAAATCCTTATGGCGTTGGGCTCGCATTCCTGCCACCCCAAGGGAGGGGACGTGCACGCAGCTGTCCCAGCTCCGAGCTGGAGCAGGCAGCAGGGCTCCTTCCTCCTGGTCACCCCATGCTGCTTCCTCCTCTTGCAGTCCTTCGAATCCTGGATGCACAAGTGGCTGCTGTTTGAACTGGCCAAGAAACCCCAGAAGAACGAGAGGAAGGTGATCCCGGCGCAGAAAGGTATTGCGGATGGGAGCTACCAAATTTTGGGAGGGTTGGGAGTAGCCCTTCAGCGATGGCTGCGTCCCAAGAGGGGACAGCACGAGAGCACCCAGGGGTGGCTGGGCAGCCTGGAGCCTCTGCCTGCCTCGGGGTCCAGCAGCAGCTTCATCAGGAGCTTCCAGATGCTCTTGGTGGGTGAAGACGCAGGTCCAGGGCAGCATCTGGGCACTGCCGGGCTGGAGAGAGGGGTTCAGGCATCCCTGGCAGGATTTCAGCTGCTGCAGAGGTGTGGAAATGGCACCTTAGCAGCAAGGCTCACCGCAGGGCCCGTCTTCTGCGCCTCTGCTCCCTCTAATCTAAACCAGTAAGGCCAGACTCGTAGGGATGGGAGCAGCCCTCCTCCTCTGCAGGGGAGCTGCTTGCCTGTAGGACTGAGGCTGAAGTCAACCAGGACATCCTGAAGGAAAAGCCATGGTCCTAGAAAGGGCTGACGGTGGATGTGCCATCAACAGACGAGAGCAGATGCAGAAGTGTTAAAAAAGGAGAGCAAATGTCTGGGAAAAACAGACCACCACCTCAAATCCCCCTTTGGTTAGAGGGAAAGCTTTAGAAAATATCCCTGGAGTGGGGTTTGCGCTTCCTCCTTTTAAATGTAGTTTATCTAAATTAAAAAGGCAAAAGCTCAGTGCCCAGATCCTCCTGCAGTTTCGTTCCCTAGGCCTGCTCAGACCAGTCCCCCATAGCCAAATTCCTGTAGACGTGGCCCCTGTTACGTAGGTTGGTACCGTTTGCCCTCATTAGGGTAAACGTTGGCAGGAGAATCCCAGCAAGGCAATTCTGTCCCGGAGCAGGTGGGATTTTGCTGTTGCTGACCCACGCCTGTTGCAGCGGCCCCGCTGCTGCTGCAGTGCCAAGGGGCTGGCCCGGGGTTCCTGCAGCCCTGGTGGGTGACGTGTCCCCCGGGCAGATATTGCCTGCACCGAGCCCTGATCCGAGCGCTGCTGTGAGGCTCCTGGGCAGCAGCTGCCCCGAGGTGCTCATGGTGTGTCCTGTTTGTTTTTATTGCCCTAGTGCAAACTAAGTGCCAGGTGGAGGCCAATTTTGGTGGTGTCCATCCGGGCCACTTCCGCCCCCAGTGCGATGAGAATGGAGACTACCTTCCCAAGCAGTGCCAAGCCAGCACGGGCTTCTGCTGGTGCTCCTACAAAAACGGCACCAAGATTGAGGGCACTGAGACTCGGGAAAAGCTGGATTGCCCTGGTAGGTCGCCCGGGTGGGGAGGAAGAGGAACAAGCAGCACCTTCAGTCGTGGTTCCTGTTTTCTCTTGAGCTCAGTGAAGAGCAGAACCCGATAGGAGCGGGGAGGGTGCCCGGCAGCACTCGAGCTGCTCAGGGCGTTGCAGCATCAGGCAGTTCTTGCCCCTGTGCCCGAGGCAAGGTGGCGTGGGTCAGTGGTGAAGGACAAGGTTCACAGGCAGCAACATCTATCCCCTTTGCCCCTGCGGGCCCATCCTGAGGACATGCTGCAGGGGCTGCCCCTTCAGCACCTCCGCACCGTGCAGTGACATCGTGTTGTGGACACCCTCTGAAGGGAACCCCAAAAACCCTAGGAGTGAGAGTGTTGACCCTTGCCTAGTGGCAGCTGGAGCTGAGGCCCTGAGCCTTGCCCTCGTGGCTCTGCTTTAAGATCTGAGCTTAGCTGAAGCAATCTGATCTAGCTGAAGCCCCTCAAAACAGAGCAGAAGGACCCCAGCTTTTACAGGTAGGGGAGAACATTCAGGAAGGCCCTCGCTTCCCCTTCCAGGGTCTTGCCCACCCTGGCGTGGCTGCACTCAGCACTCGGTGTGTTCATGGCCTGGCCATGGTGGCCTGGCAGCCCTCGAGGGGCAGCGGGGCCGTTGCAGGGACTGGGGAAGCAGCAGTGCAGGTCGCCGGCCTGGCAGAAGCAGCAGAGGGTGGCACAGGGCAGCGAGCCGTGGTTGTCCCAATGCTTAAGGACTGTGTGTTCCCTGCAGCGGTGCCCAGAGCTGTGGAGCCAGAGGAGATGATCTTCTCCGGGGTGGACGTCCTCAAGCTGGACGGAGAGAAAGGTGAGCAGCTCGGCACGGTGGAGACGGCATCTCCAAGTGGGTCACCCAAGGCCAGGGCAGGGTGGCTGGGAGGAAAGCCCTGGGTCTTTGGGCACATGGAGCTGCAATGCAGAACCTGCCCCATGTCCTTGCACCAGCAGTGGTGAGAGGGGTGGCCACGTCCATGCAGTGACTGGGACACATTCCCTGTGCTGGGAAACAGCATCAGCCTGGGCTGCATCTGGCCATGGAGCAGGACGGAGAGGCGTTGGTGGCTGGGAAGGATCCCTGGGTCCTCCCTGCAGCCCGAGCGCTGGCTGCGGCTGTGGGGAGCAGGGCAGCTCCCATCAAACCCACCTCCTGCATCCTGGGTCTTCCTGACTTCCCCCCTTCCTTTTCCTTATAGGAGCCAAGTAGAAGAGGATGCCTCCAGATGCCTTGTTCCATCTTCAGCATCCCCCCCTCTTGTTTTTGCTCTCTTTCATAAGTGCTTTCATATTGCTCTTTCGAAGGCTATTAATAGAAGGCAATCCTGAGCACTTCTGCCCAGGCGTTAATTCTCCTCCCCTACTGCAGGGCACGAAAGTGGGTTGATCGTATGCTGCCTGCAGGCTGCCTCCTGCCTTGTGCTAGCACAACAGGAGGAGCCTTCCCTTTGCTAGAGACAAAATGTTCCCTTACAGGCATGGCTGGGAGAGCACGCTGGAAAATTCTTTCATACTTCAACCACATCAGACCCATAGTTCTTTCCCCTTTTGCTAATCAGACACGAGCTGCTGGGTATGAGCTTTTGTGCGACAGCAGCATCATTCAAGGGGAGCTTCCCGGGAAGATGCGGTCGCTGAGACCGGTCCCAGGTAGCACTTTGCAGCACCCTGGCCCCAGGCAAAGAGCAGCAGGACCCAGGGCAAGCATAGGGATCAACCATGCTGAAGAATGAGCCACTAATTAATGCTTTCTTGTACTGAACGATCATTAAAAGACGGCAGCAAAATGGAGTCCACATGCTTCTTAACCGAACCCTATAGGTTGGAGCCACATTTGACAATCAGATATGTTAGACTGCTGATGCATCTTTCTTTTTTCTTTTTTTGATAAATTGCTGGGTTTGGTAGGGATAGATGCTCACCTGCAGCTTAGCTTACCCCAGCGCCAACAGCCGCCAAGCAGCAGGTAACAGCAGGAACAGGAGCTAATGCTGGAGTCAGAGGGGGTTTGTTTTCAACAAATTTCCTCTATAAATCAGCTCACAATCTAAATGCAAGCTAACCATTTTGAATAAACTTTTGAATAAGAAAGCCTTGTGGCAATCCTGGCAGGGCATTATACTCAATCCTTTTGCAGCTATCTCAAAAAAAAAAAAAAAAAAAAAAAAAAAAAAAAAAAAAAAAAAACAGGAGAAAAAAACCCCACTAAATTCTGCTCCCTCGAGAGCTTCTGGGCGGACGCTGCTCAGACATCCGTGCCTGGCTTTGGTGCCTGTTTTCACTCATGTTTGCAGCGCCAGGGAAGGAGCGCGGGTGCAGGCGGCTGCTAGAGGATGTCACTGCAGGGCAACCTGCTCCCTGGTGCAGGCAGGACCGGGGGCACCAACCATTATCACCTTGAGGAGCATCTTTTCCCCCCAGCAGGGAGGATTCTAATGAATTCCCTGCGCTGGGATGGCAGGGAGCAGGGTGCAGTCCCGGCCCCGGGCTGCTCCACGGCACCAGGATGCACTGGGGGTACCACAGAGCTGGATGGTGCTGGAAGGAGCAGGAGGGGATCCCCAGGGATCCCTCCTGTTTTCCTCAGCCCTATCCCTAGGGCAGAGGATGGAGATGGAGCCAGGCACCAACCACAGGTGCTCCCGAGCGCCAGCTGCTCGAGGCTGCAAACACAGAGCAGGCACAGGGGAAGGGCGACACTTTTAAATCCAGCCCAAATCAGGCTGCTCTCACACCTGCCCCACAGCAGTGCAGCATTTTAGTAATTAAAAACGGAACAAACCACCCCAACTGCTGTGCCAGGACCACGCACTCAAATCCCAGCAACAGCAGCATCTGCACTTTGGGGAGCAAGCCCCAAACAACTGCTTTTCCCTTGGGGGGGTGTCAAGCTGGTTCTACAACCCCAGCAGAAGCCGCCTCCAAGAGCCCTGTCTGCCCCAGCCAGCCCCCTGTGCCCCCCAGCACCAGCTCTGCCTCCACTACAGCCAAGAGGGGCCCAGGGGCCAAAGGCAGGCCTGGGGGCTTCCTGCCCCTTCCCTTCGGAGCGGCGCGAGCACAATCTCACCGTTTCTCTTTTATTGCATTTTCCATAAAAAAAAACTCACGAAAAATTATGCAGCCTTGGCCAAGAGCAGCTGCTGGGCACAGCTGCGCAGCACAACTCCAGGGAAGGGAGAATCGTCGTCGCCAGTGTCAGAATAAAAAGTAAACCCAAGAGCTCTCTCCATGGGTAGCAAAAAGACCGACACCACAAATCACAGGAAGAAAGGGAGAAAAAAGAAAGAGTAAAAGTTTCTCTTAAAAATATAGCTCTGTGAAGAGAGAGAAAAAGGGATGTCTGGGTGTCAACTAGGAGGAAAGCAGTCTATGCAAGCTGGCTCTTCTCTGGTCAAACTGCCTCCTTTAGTTCAGTTCTAGTGCAACGGGTGAGCCATCGGCAGGGGAGGTAAAACACTTCTCCAGGCCCCAGCAGGACAGGAGGAGGCAGAAAGTTACACCACTCTGCTCTAAAAGTCACAGTTAAAAGGAGGAGTTATAAATTACTATTAAAAAAAAAGTTGGAATTCTCCTGTTGGGCTTCCTTTTCCTCTCTTCTGCTTGATCTTCATTCATAAATCCTTACTGACAGGGCCACGGTACCTTTGAGGAAAGGAGTTAAAGAGTTAGGGAGAGGGAAGAAAGGAATTGCCTAGAGCTGGGTGGATCCATCCAATCCACCTCGAGGTGGCTACAAAACCACCCTCTAATTCACATGACTTTTCCAAGCTCCCTGTGGTCAGCAGGGACTGGCAGACACTATCAGAGGTCACTCATCTCTGCTGATGGCAGAGGACATCAACGTCTAGGCTGGATATCCAGCTTGCAGCAGCTAGAGAGAGAGCTGAGAACAACCTCATGCCCAGAGGCCAGCACGCTGCTCACTGACCCTCTTACACTGCTCTGCTCCCTGGTCCTCTCTCCTAAGGCCAGACTGCTTCACAGAGCGGTTGCTCAGCAGCCAGACCTGGCTCCTGCGACCGGCCCAGGAGTTTGGGCAGAGGTTACTGCTGTTCAGAGAGCTACCAAGTGACACCTTCCACAGGCCTTGTACCTTTTCATAATTCTTCAGGCTCGGTTGTTTTCTTCTTCTAAAAGGAAAAGGGAGAAAATATAAATCAGTATCATGTGCACAATCAGCACACAGAGCCCAGCAGTTCCTCTGCTGCTGTCTCCACAGGGATAAAGTCCACAACGAGGAACACATCCTATTTTCTCCCTCTGTCCCCTCTTCTCACCCTGGGGATGGGATGCAACAGCCTGCTAAGCCCTCAGGGGCTCCAGATGCTGCTGGGACGAGCCCCATTAGCACTGCGCCAAACGGCCCTCCCTGCTGTAGCCTGTTCCAGGGTCCTGCACGTACCTTCTTCTTCTTCTTGTGACCTTCAGCAGAGCTTTCTGCTACCGGCTCCCCTTCTGAAGATCCTTTTTTGCTCTTCTTCTTCTTTTCTTTTCCATTCTTCTTTTCTAGGGGAGAGAAAGAATTTAACTGAGAGAGTGGATCTGCTAAAGGCAGTGCCCGAGCAGCATTTGACTTCACCCCAAACACTGGAGGAAGCTTAGTTAGAAAGGGGGCACCCCCAGCAGGTCCTTGACCACTTCTAAAGCCTTCTGGAGCACTAACTCTTGGCAACACTTCCTGCACAAGGCAGTTGTCCTCAGGGCCCCTTCTCCAACACCAACGGGCCAGGGGGGTTAGATCTCACCACATCATGCAGTGTGGGCAGAATCACACAGGATTCCTCCCAGTGGCTGCCTCGGTGCCAGAGTGGTGGGGCACACGTGAGAAATCAGAGCAAGGGGAGCTGCCCACACAGGCCGGACACACAGCTCAGCTCAGCACGACCACGCCAGGAGGTTCCAGCTCACCTCTGTGCAACAGCCCACACAAGCACTGATGGACACGGCCCCGTCTCCTTCAAAATAAAGGGCTGTATCTCTGCAGAACAGTCACCCCAGCAGCTCTGGCCCACCCATTCCATCTTCTCTCTTTTATTTTAGGTAGCAAAAGCCCACAAGAGCCAGCACAGAATCAGCTCTGATTTGCAAGTGCAGTAGGAAATGCTCTGCGTAGGAAAATTCCCTTTGCATTAGGGCAGCAAACAGCATTAGAGAGAGGCGTGCAGGGGCAGGAAGCACTCTCAATTAGGAGCAGCAAGCAAAAGGCTGGTACTATCCTCCCCTTTCTCCTGGGGTTTGAAAGCTGCAGTAATAACCCCAAGCCAAATCCCTCAAAATGAGCAGCTCACCGTGTTGTCACAGGAGGCACCGTGATGAGGCAGGGCCAGGGAAGGGCTCTGTCACCCTACGGGAAGCAGCAGTGTCTGACAGGACAGATGACAGCCCGGATTTCAAGGCTGATGTTTTTTGAAGAGGCTGCCAGCGAGGGGACACGTGCAGGCAGCTCTGACTAACACCAAACCCTGTGTATGTGAATGCTGCCTTTCATCTACCATGCCCACAGCTCCATGTCAGGCTCCGGGGGGGAAGCAGCCTTTCTGCCTGCCTTTCCCAGCTGCACTGCAGCTCGGCTCTCCGTCATCACGTGCTGCATTTCCCCCAGCAGAGCCATTTGCCCTGCAGACACAGAGCAGGGCATCATGCAGAGCCTTAGGGCAGGCAGAAACCAGCCCGGAGGCTTCAGGGTTTGCAGCTAGTCAGAGCTTGCCCCAAGCACAGGAGAGATGGGGGGGAGTCCACACATGGAGCATAAACAGCCCCCAGCAGCTTTCGTGCAGACACATTTAAATCACTGCCTGCAAGAGAGCAGCTTCAGCCACAGGAAAGGCCAGGAAAGGAGAAATCCTAGAGGAACAGGTCACAGCAGCACACCACTGAAGATATACAGGACCATCAGCTTGCTCTGCAAGCAGCAAGGATCAGTAGGACAACAAGTATGAGCATTATGTAACTCCTGCTGTGCTGGGCACAGGACAGAGCGAGACAGAGGAGCCAAGTTGGCTGCTTGCAACACAGCTTGCTGATGGGACTGCAGAAACACACTGCCGTGGTTTGAAAACCTGCCACTGGCGTTGGGTGGGCCAAGCAGGAAGCTAACAGGAAAGCAGGTGCTGTTTATATGGCCCTGCACCAGAGGCTGAACATGCAACAGCAGCAAAAGCCTATTGCAAATGCAGCCTCGAGTGATGGGTAGTGCTTAGATGCTTACTTTTATTGGATTTTTTCTTGTCCTTGCTCCCTGGTAGCTTCTCCACGTCACCAGCTGCTTTCTTCTTTTTCTTTTTGGGCACTTCTTCACTATCCTGCCCTTTCCGCTTCTTCTCCTTGGGCTGCCCAACTGCTCCATCCTCCTCTCCTGGCCTTTTCCGCTTCTGAGAAGCTTTCTGCTTCTTGTTCTCCTTGTCTTTGCTCTTGGGCGCTTTCACAGCCTTGTCAGCCGTGGAGGACGGTTTCTTCTTTTCCTTCTTTTCTTTTTTTTCCTTCTTTTTCTTCTTCTTCTCTTCCACCGTTTGCACTGCAGGGATTTTGGCGGCAGTGGTAGCCTCGCTTTCGTTGCTTGAGCTGGGCTCCTCTGACTCTGGGATGGAGAGCAGGGCGTATGGCAACGGGTTTCCTTGTGTCCCTTTTGCCCCAGTGTCATTCTGCTTCACTGCAAGGGCTTTCTTGCCTGGGGAAGCTTTGAGGCTGCCGTGACTCGGTGCTGTCTTCCCGGCTGCTTTCTCTTTGCCAGTAGGTCCTGCGGCTTCCTGCCCTGGAGGGGGTTTGTCCTCTGCAGAAACAGTGATGAAAGAGATGACAAATTCAGGGAGCTTTTTAAAAATAAACACACACAAATAAAAAGCAAAAACAATTAAACAAAGAGCACTACAGGCTACACAGTTACCAGTGTGTTTAAAAGAGAGGCTTGCAGTTCTCCCTGCTGGGTAAATCTGCCTGCCACCTTACGTAGAGCAGGGAAAGATGCCTTTGTTCTAGCACTACTTATCTGGGAAAGGAAATGGGTGACAAGGAGCAGCACAGTTTTGTCCACACCCAAGGGAAACAGGGCCTAGGCTAGTGCAAAATGAAGCATAAGAAGGGTGAGCAGGGCACAGTCCTTCTCCAGGAAGTCAGGGACTTCCCAAGGCGGAGGTGGCACCCGCAGACCATATCTAAGAGGCACCAATGACTTATCTTATCTGGCCGGCACCAGGGCCTTCCCTCACATTTCAAGCCTACTCAGCAGCTTGTTGCACAACTTAATGATTCACCTGCCACAAAGGCCAACCAACCCAACTGAAGCTCAAGAGCTGGTCACAGCTCAGCCAGAGCCAATGTAGAGGTACCAGGGTTGCACTAGAGCAGAAACATCTTCCAGCTCTGAATTTTACAATTCAGGAAACAACTGATGAGGCAAAGAAGTGGTAGGACATCTCATTTTGCCACAAGCCTTTCCGTTCATTTACCTTTCTCCTCCCTCCAGACATGCAAAGTGAACAGAGCACAGAGAGACCATGGGGAGACTCAACAGCAGCAGTGCAGAGTAGAGGAGGCTCCTAAGCCGGTGTTTTAAGGTTCACTAGGAGCTGTTTCTACTGCAGCACACGGACACCACGAGCACAGGCAGCAGGGAGAACCCTGCCTGCTCCCATGGGCTACAGTAATTAGTGCAGTAATTACTGCAGGACGTGGAGGAGGCCAGAGCACAGTGTAAGCAGGCGGCAAGTGGAAGGGGATGTGCAAGGAGGCCGTGTCATGGCCAGGGGAAGCCAACAGACGGCAGCAGAGCTCCACAGTCAGGTTCTGCAGCAGAGACACCCGCGGAAGAGGCCCCGTTCCAGGGCTTTGCTGCTGGGCCAGGCAGATTTCTGGCCTTGCTGAAGGACCCACCTGCTTTCTGGACTGCAGGCGCCTGCTCAGCATCCGTGTCGGAGTCACTGCTGTCACTGCTGGAGCTGTCGGCTGCGGTTACAGGGGCCTTGGCTGGCGGGTTAGGAGCAGGCACTGCTGCTTTTGCTTGTCCTGTTTTGCCTACAGGCAAGGAAGGAACCGTCTTTGGTGTCTGAGGTGCTGCTGTTGGGACCTTGGAGAGGCCCACATAGCCTGTGAGGAGGGACTGAAGAAAGCAGAGACTAAGAGTCACTGCAAGGCAGCCTCTTAAATACCAAGCACTGAGTTTTGCTCCCATACTCCTAAAGAAGGGCCTGCGTTTGGTTACCTATGGACTGACCCATGCACTGTTTAGCCCGTCCCCATCCCTGCAGGGAGGGCAGGGTAAGGCAGGGATACCAGGAGAAGGGGGCAACCCCAACAGGGGCTGGCTGAGCTCATAGCTCATGGGGCTGGTGGCCACAGAGTTGCTCCCTTGTTCTCACCCAGCTGAGTGGACTTGGGGGAGGCTTCTGGTCATCAGCATGAGCCCCTGCAGTTAATGCACTATCCTGTGCTGCATGACCTGCACATTGCTTACAAAGGGAATTTAAAGGCTTGGGTATGGGTTAAGTTACAAAAAAAGGGGCAGGGAAACGTTTTGGGGGACCCTTCTGCTACCGACACTGCAAGCCAGTTCTCCTGGTTTAGCTCTTGCAAGGTTCTGCCTCCTCCCATCTCATTTAATAGCAGAAGGTACAAACCCTGCACCCAAAGCTTGGCTGCCTGGGGAAGTGCTCCCAGGAGCTCGGATTCAGAAGTTTTTCTCTCCCCTCCTCTGCACTGCAGAGCTCCCACTTCCATGCTGCAAACCCACTGAGCATCCTGCTTGCTCTGGCTGGGAATGCAGCGCTCTCACTCCTGCTTTGAGGCCAGGTGCAAGACCTGAGAGGATGCCAGCCTGGTCTGGCTCAAGTACCTGTGACACTGTCCCTTCTTCTTCCTCGCTGGACTCTGAGGAGGAGCTGTGGGCTGGCTCAGTCCCTCCTGGTTTCTGCTGCACACCTGCTAAAGAGCAGAGTTCATCCCATGAGACCCATCGCTGCCTCTTGGGGCTGAATCCTCCTACCCAGCACACAGGCACTGCTGCCAAGGGGACTTCTGCCCCCAGAGAAAGGGGAGTGCCCAGCAGAGCTAGGGAGCAGAACCCCCTTTCCAACCACTATCTGAAAGTGATGCCTTCCAAGAGGCAAAAAAAGGAGTGCTGACAAAAAGCACAGCCAGGCTAGGGCTGGGCACGAGCACACCTCTTGGCATGACATAGAGGACATCTCCTCAGGAGAACTGACCAGGTTTGGAGACCTGTTTGGGCGTCTCCTCCTTGTCACTCTCGGAGGAACTGCTGCTGTCTGAGGTCTCCTCTGCTTGGGTGGGCAGCGTGGCCTGGCTCAGCCTGGTGTCCTGGGCAGGCTGCAGCCCTGGCTTCTTCTGCACAGCAGTGGGGTTTCTTGGCACTGAAGCAGCCTGTGGAGCAGCAGCGTTGGTTGGAGGTGCTTTCCCTGCAGGAGCTGCCTGCTTTGGGCTTGGAGGACGAAGGGCCTAGGGAGAGGAAGAAGAAATATATCTGAAAGGAGGAGAAATTGCTGATTCCTCTGAACTACAGAAATCATCTCCTAATAGGCGGGCTTAGACCACCTGGACTCTCCTTCAGCCACACTGCTCCAGTTCCTGGCTCACTGGAGCCCAGCACCTTCCAAGCAGGAAGATGAGACCCCCACCCTCCCCAACCAAAAAGCAGGGAGCTAGGGCCTGGTAGGAAAGTCCTCTCCGTTGAGCCTGCTGCTATTGCAAAAGGAGGAGGAAAATAAAGCCAGCTGGGAGGCAGCAAAGGTGACAGGGCTGCCTCTCCCTCATCTGCTTCCCTTTGTCATATGGGGACATGGTTTAAAACAACTCCCCTCGCTCGGAGGGGCCACGTCCCTAGCTGCCTGCACGCCCGACTCCCGCACCCCCCCGCCTGCCGCCCTCCCCAGAGAGGCTCCTGCGCCCCTACCTCTCCCACAAGCAGGTCGCTCTCCGAGGAATCGCTGCTCGAGCTCTCGGACACTCTGCAAGCCGGCGGCGCGGCGGCTTGGATGCCCTTCCCCGGGGGCAGCGTGGCGTTAGCCTTGGCAGCCGCTGTGCTTGCAGCCCTGCCTGCTTTGACGTTCTGCTGCGTCAGACTCTAAGGCAGATATAAAAGAGTCAGGCCAGAGCACAAGTCGAGAGGGAAAAGAAGTAGAAGCACAACGCAACCCTCCACCTCCCGACCCCTGCATCATTTTCAGGATAGCTCCAAGGCTGATATATTTTCTTCCTTCACCGTTTTGCTTCAGTGTGAGCCTCCAAGCAGGGCCTCCAGCAGATTTAGAGCATCCATGTGAGGGCCAGCACATCTGGGTGTATCTACTGCAATAATCAAGTGCCCAAATGGCATCTGCCTGGGAGCAAGAAGCTGAAATGCGACATACTTGAAGCCCCCAGGATACCTGTCCACCGCAGCACCAGGAGGACAGCAAGATGCAAAGGCTGTCTCGCTGGATGGAGATTCAAACTCCAGGCTTTCTCCTACACTCAGACATCACATGAGGTTTAGCTGGCTACACAGACAAAGCAGGGACATCAACGGTAGGGCAAATTTGTCCTCAGGTTCACTAGCAAGTCAAGGATTAGATAGCAAGTTAACAAGAACAGTTGTGTTTCCTGACACCTGAAGTGTCCCATGTGCTAACATGAAGTGTCCCAGGAGCTAAAAAGAGAAAAGCCAGGAGCATGGATGAGGGAAATCAGACACTGACATCATGTCCAAGGCACAAATGCCAGCAGAGGAGAGAGCAGGAGCGACGCAGGAGCGCTCAGCCTCCTGCTTTGTGTTACAAACAAGGCTACGTAAGCAGCTGTCCCTCCCCAGATCTCTGACAAGCTGCGCCTTTGTGGGCTGAGGCTTCTCACACACAACATCTGGCCTTCGGGGAGGAAGGCAGCGCTCCTCGATGGGGAGAGCCGCGAGTCGAACGTGCGCTTTGAGACGTCTTGCACACAGCTCCAGTTACAGCAACTGCCTTGTTTTATCCAGCTGTGGTATTGCAAACAAGCTTTAATCAAGCAGTGTGCTCAGGCTGGCTGGCTGCCCACCAGCTGGGGAGAAGGCAGCCTTTGCATCAACCACAGCCTCCAGCAAGGATGTTGACCAGAAAGGTGATGTGTATGTGTGGGAAGAGAAGTGCACTGGGCTGCTAAGCCCTGAGCTCAGAGCACCTGCCCCTTTTGCAGTGGGGAAACCACCAGCAAGCAGGAATGACAGTCACACTCCCCAGTCAAAGCTTCCTCACGGGGTTTCTTCCCTGGCCTCAGCACAGCAGAGGATCAGAAGAGAATCAAGTAAGAAAACTGGGACTGACTCCTCCGCACTCAGATCACCCTCACTGTGAGTGAGCAGAGATCACTCGTGAGCTAGACCAGGGCTGAGAAGGGCGTGAGGCTGGGCCACGCTGCGCAGGGTCAGTGTGAGGCAGTGCTCCTCGTGCCGACACGAGGCTGCCTCCATCCTCTAGGAGTCGGACTCCTATTCTGACTGAAAGGCAGCACAGCCCATGTTGCTCCTCAGGACAGATCCAGCAGCCTCCTGTGGGTGGTGGAGCAATAACCAAGCAGCCTCCGGCTGCCGTCCACACCAAGGTGGGCTTGGGAGGAGTCAGGGGGCAGGCTGCCTTGCAGCCACCTGGCTCAGGGAAGGACTGCCCAAAGGAATTTGGCAGTTTTTCCAGTTGGTTTACCTTCTAGGTCTAGGGAAGGGGGACAGAGTCCAGGAGATCTGGCCTCATGTGTCTAGTCATGTTCCTGCCAAAACAGTTGCATCCTCCCCTACTCACACACTGCAAGCTTGCTGAGGCAGAGATATGTACCCAGAACTCAGGTCACTGAGACCCAGAAACGCTGTCAAGAAGCCTGGATCTAGCCAAAAGGAGGGGTCCTCTCTCTATCATTCATCATCCACCCAACTATCATCTTGCAAGTTTTCTCATGAGTGTGTGGGGCAAAGAGTGTCCACATGGAGCAGGTCAGCACCTCCTTACCTGTGAAGGGGGAATTATTTCCTCCTCCGAATCGGACTCCTCACTGGAATCGTCGCTGCTCTCGGCAGGCGGAGGGGCTGGTGCTGGCACCGGTGCTGGAGCTGGTGCCTTCTTCCCACCCGCTGGCTTGGGCACAGCGTTGGTTTTCACTGTAGGAAAAGCAAGGGAGATTGTCACCAAAGCAAGAGTTGTTCTTGGCTGGCCAGGGCAGGAACTATTACATCGGCCAGGGCAGAGAAGGAAGCCCAAGAGGAAGAGGGGAAGAGGTCCTTACCACTACCAGGAGCCTTACCAGCTGGTGGAGGCCGCTGCTGTGCCACGGGCGTCTCTTCTTCACTGTCAGAAGAGTCACTGCTCTCACTCTCAGAGGTCTGGCTTTTCAAGGTGCCTCCCGCTGGCTTTTCAGGTCCTCCAACTTCAGCAGCCTCGCCTGGGATGGGAACTTGTCCAGGCTGTTCTGTTAATCTCTTAACAAAAAAGAGAAATACAAACACAGAAATGCAGCGTTACCAGAGGTTTCGGTTAGTGGTTTAAGTGCATTTACAGCTCAAGCTAGGTTTTGTTTTGCCCTTAAACAGCTGTTGCTAACACTCACTCCATCCTCAGCGGGTCAAAGATTGGAAAGGGCTTCAGTTACTGCCTTGACTGAGCTGCTGAAAATGCACACGTTCATTTAGCAACGTGCCTTTGACGAGAAATCCAAGTGCATCCGATCTCCAGAGTGTGCCGGGCTAAGGGCGCTCGTACATCTTGCTGCAACGAGACTTCAGGAGGAGCCTTCCAGCAGAGCAGGTCAGTCAGGACAGCTGCTGCGCCAGGGTCCCTCTGCACCACCAGCTCTCAGAGCAAACCCTCAGCCAGCAGTACCTCAGGCTGCCTTGCAACTCCCTAATGAAGTGCAGATAACCTGGAGAGGAGTCTGAAGGGAAGAGCGGCACCCCAACCCTCAAGCCCCCTCCAAAGCCTCTCATGGGAGCACAACCTCTCCCTAGCTCAAGGAATCAGAAGGAACCTGAAAGTCTTGTGCCAAAATATTTGTAATTCAAAGAAGGTATCGGAGCAGCTACTACCCCCAGCGCTGCTGGAGAGCTCAGCACAGAGACAGGCTGCCACAGGAGCTGGGGAATGCAAACAACAGGCAGAAACAGACCTGCGGCTACGACTGAGCCCTTTGGAAATTAACCTGTCAACAGGCCTAAGAGTTGGAAAACAACGAACCACTCACTTGGGCTGTGCCATCCCACAGCACACGGATCTATGCTGATAGCTGGGACACAAGTGAGGCCGGGATGAGCTCCTGCCCCAAGAGGCTGCTGTGTGAGCACCAGGCAGCCAGCGTTACTGCAGCACCAGGCACACAATTCCAGGGAACAGCTCCTCTTCCTGCCCCTCTCCCAGCTCGGACACAGGGCTGGGAACATCCTCCCGTGCCCCTGGGCAGGCAGGAGGGGAAAAGGGACCGGTCCTGCTGCACGGCCACTGCAACCTCCTTCGGCAGTGCCGCTTATCCAGTGACTCTGCTCCCACCTCAGAGCCCTTCGTCCATCCCACAGCAGGGGGACAGGGGCACCCGGGCACTGCTGGCTGGCATGGGGGCTGCTCCCGGCCACCAGCCCCATGGCTTCCCAGGGAGACGGATCTTACTGCGCTTCCCGGCACAGCCCCGCCGAGACTGCTGACCATTCCCAAGACAAACGCTCAACAGACACCAGCACCTGCATGTTTATCCCACCACAGAGCAGCTCTCTGAACAAGCCAAGCACATTTTGACTCCGCTCGGAGAAACAGAAACCTCCAAAGCGCTCGGGGAGGGGGGAAGGCAGAGCCGGGCTGCTTTGTTTTGATACCCGTGAGTCACTCTCTCCAGGAGAGAGGCCAGATTTGCAACAGCAAAGACAGAGCTACTTGAAGCGGAGCAGGATTCACTTGGTCTGCACGTACATCCATCCCCAGCACGGTACCCAAGGGAAGAGCCTGCCAAGATCAAACCCTGCTCACTCATTTCTAAGGCCTCCATCGCAACGGGGCGGGTTTCTGCTCTGCGCAGATGCACAGCGTGAGGGCTGCTCTCTGCGCGGCACAAACGACTGGCAGAGGGCTGTGGAAAAACTGTCCACGGGCAGCCTGACACAGAAATAACACTGCAGCATCCTCACAGAAACCTCTTTGAGGTTCCCACAGCCGGAGGATTCCTTGGACGCTCTCAGGTGGGAGCCAACGTCCCTCCATCCCCGTCATCTCATTCCCTGCCCGAGGCCAGCAGGTGCCACACGCTATGGCACGGTGCCACGCAGGCTCAATCACACCCAGGGATTGGGGTAAGACAAGCGGGGAGTTTCTGACATCTCAGAGAACCAGGCAGCTTGGGTAGCTGACGGGAGGAGCGGAGCAACTCAGAGGAAGCCCGTTTTCCTTCTCCCTCGCCAGTCCCCAGAGCAGGAGCTGCCTGCAGATCAGGCCGAGAATGATGACTCAGGTGCCACACAGCCCATCTGCCGCGCGCAGCGGCCGTTCGCATCCTGCAGCTCTGCGTGGCGAGAGCGGGGCGCAGCAGCACCCCGGCACGTGCGCCCAGCGGATCACGAGCACCAAGCTCCGGCGCATGGAAGCGCTGCCAGAGCAGCGGAACTGGGACTAGCAGCTCAGCTGGGTCACGACACGGGGAAGGGAGGGATTGACGCCTGCATGGAGCTGGAACTGGATCGAGGAGGAGGGTAAAGGGGAGATTGGGCCTTCCCTCACTGTTCCATGGGAAAAAATACAGGTTTCAGGCAAAGCTTCTGCCAGCACAGCCTGCGCAAGTTGCCTTGGATGATCAAGAAACGTACAGGATGCCAACACACACATGCATAGAGCTCAGCTCAACACTGCTGAGCAGAAACCAGAGCCTGCACACAGAGTTTAGTGCCATTTTTATGGCAAAATGTCCAGGAAAGGGGAAGCAAAGCAGAACAAACAGCTCCAAAAGCAGCCACTCACAGCATCTTTAAGGTCAGTCCAGACTGTCCCCCATCACCATTCTCTTAAAAAAAAAACCCTGCAAACACCTTGTCAACTTTTTTGACTAAATATTCCTGCGTGTTCACGGGTAAACATACCAATTAAGCAGTTCAATTTAGGCATGATGTTCATTTTAATTGTGCTAATCCACCCCCACAGGGAAAGATGAAGCAGCTTCCAACGCTCTGTATCTGTTTGGATCTTGCACGGAAGCCAGAGGAAGTTGCAGGATGCAGTAAGTCCGTGGTTAGCATATGCCCAAGTAGCAGATGGTGAGGATGAGCTAAGAAGAGCTTGACTGGGAGGACAGGACTGTGGACAAGGATATGCCTATGGGCTTAACTTCAGGCTTCGCTCATGGTCTCTGCCTGCAGGCTACTAACACAGGGAGAAACCGCCTCCTTGGCAAAAATAGAGCTCCCTTGATCACAAGTTTTTCCCTGCTGGCTGTGGTAGATGAAGGGTAATCAGCAGCTTGAAGAGGAAAGATGATGAGGTGGTTAAATAGCCATCAGCAAGAGAGCTACCTGCTGTGGCCAGCTCCACACCAACACTGGGGACAGCAAACCCAGCCCAGCAGGTCCTTCATCTCCCACGCTGCTTGAAGGGATGAGCCATGTTCGTTTTATAGCGAGCATCCCCATGGCAGAGCTACGGGAAGAGCTGCTCCTGCCACCCAGAGCTGAATCTTCACATATAACCGTGCAGGAAGAGAGCAGCACAGAACCAACTGTTAGAGATGCACCCGCCTCCACCCACGTCGGCAGGCCAAGGCTATAAAGACAAAATGCAGAGCCTCCCCTCTCCGGCGGCTGCCTGTCACTAGCAAAAGGACGTGTTGACAAAGAGCCTCTTTGCAAGGACACGTGAGGCTCTACCCCCAAGTTCTCTGCCTCCCTAGCAAACAACAGCTCCTGCCTGGGAAACGCAGCGCTCAGGCCTTGCTTTCGGGCCACTGTCTGAAAGGCTCCGCAGCTCTGTCTCATTGCAGGACTCTCCACATGTCAGATCTAGGACTATCAAGGTCCTGTTTCACCACGTGAAGCAGAGCGAGCCCCACCCTGTGCAAGCAAGCGAATGCTCTCAAGAAAGGATTTGTTTCCCAACAACTTGAGCCATGTAGGCCTGAGCCTAGCCTGGGTTTAGGGCCTTCCCTCAAGAAGAGCCTAACACTCCCTTCATAGGAGGGCCAAGCTGTTGGTGACCCCTCAGAGTAGCAAAGCACGAGTGGAGAGTCCTGATGTATTTGCTCCTCACAGACTACACTGCTGTTGGGACACCTCCCCTCATCCGGGCTTTCCTGTTGCCTCTCACAACAGTTTTTGCATCAGAGAAGAGCCAGACGAGCTCCAGCACAGAGCGAGATACCTGGTAACTCCCAGCTATCCCCCAAGAAGTCCTTTGTCTTCATATGGTGGGAATAAAGAGATAAAAATAACACGTAAATAGAGCCACACATGAGTGAGCAGTTATCCATACTCGTTTCCAGGTAGAAGCCAAGACTCCTCCCAGGGGAGGCAAGGAGCAAAGTACTATGTGCTGCCATTCAAGAGGGTTAGCAGCAGCACATAATGGCTGAGCTACTGTTCTGTGCATACTCTCATCATTCAAGACTGAGTTGAACGTGGCATCACCAACCTTCTGGCTTATGGGCACAGAGAGATCCTCCTCTTCGCCGTCTGAGGAGTCGGTGCTCTCCGCTGGTTCCGTGCTTTCAGCAGCCTTTGTGCCAACAGCAGTCCTTTGCAGGCCATTTTTGCCCTGCTTTGGCACTGTTGGTTTTGGTGCCGCCTTCCCTTGGGCTGATGGAAGAGCTTTTGCTGGAGCTGCTTTGCTGGAGAGTGACGCTGCCGGGGTTGGTTTCACTGGGGATGGGGTGGCCGGGGAGGATTTTGGAGGTGGCTTTGTCTGGAAAGAACAACAACAGCATGAACCAAGATGAATCCCACAGTAGAACAAATCATACACTCAGACTGGAATGAAGGGAAGAGATTTCAGTGCCCTCTGTAAAAGACAAATGCTAAAGGGAGATTAGCAACTGGCAGGAAAGATAAGGCATTCCTTCATCCAGCAATCTGGGGACAGTCTCCTAAAAGGAGAAAGCAAAACCAGACATTGCTTGTCAGCCTTCAGAGAGCACCAGTTCCCTGCAGTCAGGTAAGTTTTAGCACTCTGCACTCTCTACAGCAGGGAAACTAAGCTGCACTACAGCTTGCAAAATCAGACACTGCATATTACAATCTATAGTTGAGAGGCAAATTCAACCACAATGATTTGCCTCTCCAAGTAGGAAAGGAATTGCTGGGTTTTTTTTTTTTTTTTTAATTAATCAGTGTCATTAAAGGTAAGTTTTCACTTCAAAACCTACTCCTCCTCTGCCCTCAAAAAGAGAAAGACAAAAACATTACGGAAACTTTAAATGCTCTCCCTGCAAACATGACTTTGCTGTATACAGTGTCTGTTTAGAGATGCTTCCTTCACTGCAATTCTTAGCTTTGGGAAGGAATGCACGGAGAGACCAAGTTTCAGACAGACGCACTTGGGTTCCAGATGCGGGTTCCTCGTTTTCACTGTCTGATGAGTCGCTGCTCTCTGAAGTGTCATCAGCCTTTGCAGTCCCAAGAACTGTTGCTGGTCCAGGCTTGGCCTGGTTTGGTGCCACTGCTGCTGGCTTTACTGCTTTCTTCTTGGTGGACACTGGAGCAGCAGGTGTGCTTTTCACAGGTGTTGCATTAGCCTGCACTACTTTCACAGCTGGTTTTGCCTGGAAACGGGAAAGAAAGTTAACATCTTATATTTTTAGGAGGGAAGAAGCTGGTAGAGGGTTGGTGCCTGTTTTAAGCAAGGTCATTTTGCCAATTTGGCTGGGATAACAGGTAGGCTTGTTCAGAACTATGGGCTGTACAGCATGTGAAGAAGCAAGTTGCTTCCTCTGAGGGATGTCTGACCAGCATGAATCCTCCTGAATTTGCAGTAACTGCAGAACTGTGTGCCAGTCACCTCCTACGGATCCAAGACTCTCCCTCTGCTTCAGGCACTAGGAAGAACTAGGACAGAGGGGCTGACTGGCAGGGGTTGGTGGGGCTCTCAGTCACACTGCGTGACTCCATCGCCTTGGGTTTGGGGATCCCACACATTCCAGGAAGAGAGTGTTGACAGACTGCAGCCGCGCTTTGGAAATGCTCCCTTGCATTTTCCTCTCCCTTCACGGTTAGAGAAGTGGTTTCCTAGAAAGAAGGACCCCGGACTGGAGAGGTTACCTGGACTGCTGAAGGTGGGAGCTCCTCCTCGGAGGATGTCTCATCGCTCGATTCCTCACTGCTGCTTTCAGCCGCCGCAGCTGCCTGCTTCAGCTCTGAAACACAAGCGAGGAGATGTCACAGCTGCTGCCAGTTCTGAGTTCTTAAAGTGAGATGCTAATGCATCTTTTGAAGTCAAAAGGGGGGAAAAAAAGCAAAAGGAGAAAAAAAAAGGCAGCAGAAAGAGGTGAGAAGCAAAGAAGATTTGCAGGGAACAGGTCCCAGTCTCAGTGAAAGAGCTGGTGGCCTCCTGGGAACAGCCTCTCCAGAAAAAAGCAGAATGCCTGCAAGCTCCATTCCTCAGCACAGGCAGAGATAAGAAATCCCTCCTGGGCAGTCGCAGACCTTAAAGGCAATTGTCCAGGCAGATGCAGTATCCTGCAGGAGCACCTAGCCTGCCTGCATTTTATCTGAAAAGCAGACAAGGACTGAACTTCTAAGCTCCATTCCTTCCCTCATCTCCAAAATAGCAAAAGGGATTTTCTTGAAGACTTTAAAAAAAAAAAACCAAATATTCATTTAGCAATTGGGACCAAACACAATACCATGAAGAGCCTTTTCAGAAAGCTGAAAACATCTGCAGCATTCGCTTGGTATCTTCTCCAAATACATTATCATCTCCAATGCTGTAGCGAGGGATGCTGCTGGAGATGCTGACACACTCCTTAACCGCAGCATTTAGCACCCTAAGTGTGAGCAAGCATGCTAGATTCATCCCAGGGAGCTCCAGAGCTGCCAGCTTTGCAGTATTTTTGCAGTCTTCCTGGGAGCACGTTGTCCTCCGAGCTGTTCAGCGAGGGAGCTGGCACAGACCAGACCTCATGCGCAGCAAAACCAGAGCACACATGCTCTCCCTCACCCTCCTTACCCGCCTTGGGGGCTGCTGAATTCACTGCTGGTGTTTCCTTTTCTTCCTCACTCTCTGAAGAGCTGCTGCTCTCGGAGCTCTCTGGCGCCTTCGTCGTTTCTGGTGCTTTGCTCTGACCTCCTTTGCCCAAGGTGGCTCCTGGGGGTCCCAGCTTCTCAGGACTGGGTGGCTTTTGCCCAGCCTTGGCCAGAGGTGCAGACACAGCTGCTGTATTGGGCTTCTTATTTGACACCACAGTTCTGTGCACAGCAGAGGCCACCACTGCCTTGTCTGCCGGAGTAGCAGTTTTATTAGGAGAATGCAGGGAGTTGGCAGCTTTGCCGCTGACCACAGCTGGCTTCACCTACAGGAAACAAAAGTTAGAAGGCTGCAGACAAATAAAGGGCTAGACTAGGTATGACACATCTTAAACTGCACTCCAGCAGCTGGGCAAACCACACAACTCCTTAAGGAGGTGCTTAGGGGATGGATATCTATGAGAAGGCTTATGCCAGCACAGGAGGGTCATTTAAATATGAATTTCACCCAGCCCACATTACAGCACATGCCTCAGAGGCTGGGATGGCCCTGGCCTCAGAACAGCATCAGCCCCTAAGGTCAAAATAAACATGTTCTTACTGTCACGACTTCTTTTCCTGATGGTGCCTCTTCTTCTGATGAGGAGTCGTCATCCTCGCTGCTTTCTACGTTCACTGCTGAGTTGGTGACCAGGGGAACGCTGGCTGCAGCACAGGAGAGAGACATAGAAGTAATGCAAGAAGTGCCAGTCACCAAAATGGTCTCTGGTCCTCAGGAAGGCCCCAGCACACAGGGTAAATGCCATCTCTGCACCTGCCCCAACACCAGAGCCACTGCCCTTACCACAGGCAGGTTCCTCCAAACCGCCCTGTCTCCATGGCAGGTCCAAGGATAGGTCTGCAGCGACCAAGCCAAAACATTTCAGAGAGGGTTTCTTATCAGACTGTTCAAGTAAATGGCTCAAACATCAGTTGCATCAAGGACCTGTTTCCACCTTAGAGGCAACTGGCTTTCCAGACCAACTAGAAAGTCCTCCTTCCCTCATCTGTGAGGCTAACGTTCCTTTGTTGTCCCAAGAGATGCTACAACTGATCAGATGATGCTTCCCCATTGGGTACCATTAAGTTCCCAAGGTTACATCCAAGCTAGGACATTCATCGCTTCTTACGATGAACCATAGCAACTGATTCTACCAAAAGCAAAGACCCATTCACAAATTCAACAAATGCAGGGGAAAGGGTTCCTTGCTGAGCTTCAATTCAGCAAGCCCTACAAGAGATGAAGAACAACAGACTCTTGGAGGGACTTTTGAGGGTGGCAGCTTTGGATGCAGACATCAGGCTAGTGTGAGACATGTCAAAGCTGCTGTCCTAACCCATCAGTGATGGATGCTGGGAATAGGAAAGCTGGGCTGTACAAATGGAAGTTAACTGGAAATTCAGCAATTGCTGAACCAGGCACTGATGAGGCTTTCAGGGCTGGAAGGGGTAGTAGCAATAGAGACAACAGCTCTTGCTTCAGAGTTGATCTACATCCAGCAGGATACCGCTCTCCTCCAACCTGAGTTCCATCCCTGGGCTCAGCCTCCCCAGGGACATTAACTTACACTGCTCTTGGGGTGGGTTTCTGCCACTGCCAAACTCTAGCATGGTACAAGGGGCGCAAAATCACAGAGTTACTGGGGCAGCTACATTCATCTTGGGGGGAAACACTTCTCCAAAGAGCTACACTCACCCACACCAATCAAACAGACTCCACAGGAGAAAGAGAGGAAAAGTCTATCGGGAAGAAACAGCAAGAGAGCAGGAATTACGATACAGGGATACTCCTTCTCCCTATTCCTCAGTCTGGCTTTCTGGAGAAGCAGTCTAAACCTAAAGGGCCCAATTCCACAGGGCACTGATAGCTTTAGCAGGCATCTCTGCTCCTCAGAAGCTCTGCAGGGACACAGGTGCTCAAATAGTTGCTCTGTTTTCCCAGAAGCATCAGGGAATAGCTATCCCTTTACAAGTATTTTCTCTGGTCAAGCCAATTGGGCTGTTCTTGCACAGTCCTAGTCAGTCAAAACATGGGGAGATAAAAGTCTCCTACCCTTGACAGCTTTGGTCTTCTCTCTCTCATCATCTTCTTTCTCTGAGCTCTCGGAGCTGCTCACAGGATCAGGAACTCTGATCTTTTCTGGGACGGCTGCCTCCACATCACTTGCCTTTCTTCTCCTGGAATTCGAGGGAGTTCTGAGGAAACAGATTTGGAAGAGTAAAGAAGAGGTGTCAAAGTGTCAAAAAGGGGAATAACTCTTGAAAAAGGATGAATGTGAGCACTCATTAACGCAGCTCCTCCCAGGCCTGACAGAAGTCTTCACAGCTCCTGTGGCAATGGGAGAGATCCACAGGTATCCTGGAAGGCACATCTCTGTTGTCCTGAGGCAACTCCTGAGAGAAATTATCCTTGCAGCACTTGGAGTAGACGTTGGATAAGGACTACCTAGGACACGGTAAGAAAGTATCTTCCTCACATTAGCGGAGAAGTAAAGACATACTTGCTCAGGCTGATGTTCACCACAGAGTAAAGGCAACAGAAAGTACAGTGAGAATTTAAACTGTGTTCCAAGAGCTTAAGGAGAGCATCAAGGATGACCTCAGCTAGATGAGGAAGAGCAGGGGCGGGCATTTTCAGGCCAAAAAACCTGTGCAGCAAAAATAAGATGTGAGAATCACAGCTCCCTCACGTGAGAGGGCTTCAGCCAAGCAGGGAGCTTCTCGGTACACCTAACAGTGGGTCAATACGTCCCCCATCGCGACTGTAACCCAGGCAGAACAACTGGAGGACACAAGAAACAAGAGGCAGACTTGCCAGGTGAAACTACAGCCTAAGGGTGACACCACAGAAGGAAGAGTTCAACATGATGCAAGTTTCTGTTGCTCTCTACAGTTTAAGTTAACCGTGTCTGGAAAGGCGTGCAGTAGAGCCCAGGGGACCTGGCACACGCGACAGCCACCATCAACACCCAAGAGAGCAATAAACTGATAGAGCGAGGAACTGCAAACCCAATTCCACAGTTAGATCTTCACCTGCTTCCACAGCATCTCTTCTGCTCAGTTAAGAAAACAGTGGGGAAAAAGGTTAAGAAAACCATAACCGTGTTACACCGAGCCCCTGCTAACCTGGCTCTGCAGCTTCAACCATGTCCATCTCCACAGCACTTATTTCTACATGAAAATAAAGCACCCAGCACCCTGAGCAGGGGCAGGCACCACCTCGCAGGTGTGAAAGCCTCTTTACTGCAGCCATTCACATGCACAGGGTGTTCAGCTCTATAAACGTGAGGACCAAGCACATGAGCACGTGCAAGGACAGGCTGAAACCAAAAGCACCTTCTTTTAAACGGTAAGTTTCGCGACCTATGCCCAAATCTAACACCAGCAGCTCTGCTCACGGGCAGCTCACACGCTCAGCCACGCACAGCACACGGCTCTACGAAAGCAAAATGAAACTGGAAGTCACTTTTTCTGCCAGTGAAGCATACCTGCAACCCTAGCAATACTCCAGCATCACCCCAACATGCAAGAGGAGCACCAGGTTTTCAGAAATAGAGTAACAATTTATGCCCAAGATAAAGAAATGTTATTTTTTCTTTAATACTAGAAATAAAGCTGTGTGAACACAGGGCCTGGGGAAGAAAAATTATTACTGAAACATCCCGGCAAAGTGAAATGTGAACAAGTAACGATCATAGGAATGACAGTGCTTAGCCCGGGATGCCCGTGGGGATGATTCCAAATCCCATGGCCTGGGATTCCAAACCCCACTTCCCAGGATGCACATGGGGGTGATTCCAAATTCTATTGCTGGGGATGCACATGGGAGTGATTCCAAATCCCTCTTTCTGGGATGCACATGGGGATGATTCCAAACCTCGCTTCCCAGGATCCATGTGGGGGTGATTCCAAACCCCGCTTCCCGGGGTGCACGTGGGGGTGATTCCAAACCCCGCTTCCCGGGGTGCACGTGGGGGTGATTCCAAACTCCGCTTCCCGGGATGCAGCCACACTCACCTTTGCCAGTGGGTGAAGATCTCCTCCAGGGAGGCAGCCAGGGACGGCAGCAGCTTCTGCGGGAGCAGAGAACACGAGTTGGAGGGAGCAGGAAAACCGGGAAGCGGCCGGGACCGTCGGGAACCCCGCGGAAGGGAACAGGGCCGTCCCCATGACCCCCCTTCCCTCCGGGGCCCGCGCAGCCGCCACTTCCCGCCCGCGGCGCCGCTGGCCGCGCTGTCCCGGGCCAGGCCGCGGCGCTGCCCCCGGCCCGGTTCGGTTCGGTTCGGTTCGGCCGGTACCTGCCCCAGCTGCGCCTGCAGCTCGCGGGCCGCCCGCGCGTAGCCGCCGCGCAGCAGGTGCTGGTGGATGAGGGCGAGCAGCTCCCGCTGCCCGCGCGCCGGCAGGGAGCGCCGCGTGCCCGCCCGGCCCGGCCCGGCCCGGCCCCTTCCCGGCCCGGCCCGGCCCCTTCCGTCCCGCCGGGAGCGCTGGGAAATGGAGTGCGGCTCCGGGCCGCGAACCGGGCCTGAGTGCTCTGGGGGTGAGCTAGCAACCGAACCGAACCGAACCGGAACCCACCTGGGTCGGGGAACCGAGCCGCAACCGAATCGAGCCGGGGGAGCCGGACTGGGAGATGAACCGAGCCCAAAACCGGGCCGGGGGGGGCTGAATGTGACTGAACTGAGCCCCAAACCGGGCCCAGGGAGCCGAACCAGGAACCAAACTGGGACAGAGAAGCAGAATCTGGAACCGAACTGGGCCAGGGGAGTCGAACCAGGAGAGGAACCGAGCCCCAAACTGGGCTGAGGGGGCTGAACCGAGCCCCAAACTGGGCTGGGAGATCTGAATATTATTGAACTGGAAACTGAACTGAGCCCCAAACCGGGTCCGAACCAGGAACCAGGCCAGAGGAGCTGAACTGGGAACCAAACTGGACTGGGGAAACTGAACCAAGAACTGAACGGCAGCCAGGGCAGGTGAGCTGGGTCCAAACTGGGCCAGGGAAGCCAAACCAGGAGCTAAACTGGGCTTGGGGAGCCAAACCAGGACCTGACCCGGGCTATGAAAACCGAACCGGGCTGGGAGAGCTGAATGGGGCCAAGCCAGGCTGGGGGAACCGGACCAGGAATTGAACCGGGCCGGGGGAGCCAACGGGGAGCTGCAGCAGCAACCGAGCCAGGCTGGGGGACCCGAACCAGCAGCCAAATGGGCCTGGGGGCCATCAGCTGAACTGGGTGCTGAGCCAAGCTGCGACCTGAACTGGACCAAGGAGCCGAATCAGGAGCAGAGCCCGTCGGATCAGGCGGATCAGGTCAGAACAGAGTCAGGCTAGGGGAGCCACCCAGGAACTGATCCAGAGCGTTATCGAATAGACCTGGAACCGAACCAGCCCAGGGAAGATGCTCCCAGGAGCCAAACTGAGCTGGGCAGGGAGAGCTGCACCCAGGAATGCAACCAGCCAAAGGAAAAACCAGCTAAGGGAGCTGAACAGAACTGAGAGCTGAACCCAGAACTGAACTGGGGCAGGTGGAAGAGGTGGGAACCTAGAGAGGCCAGAGAGACTGTGCCCTGGAGCTATATCCGAATGCATCAGATGGAGGAGCTGTGTCCAGGAGCCAAACACAGACTCAGACTGGCCAGGAAAGCTGAACCTGAGGACCAGAGAGAACAGAAGTAGGCTGGGTTGAGGACACAACCAAGTCTGGGAGATGGAGCAGGCATCACTGCTTCAAACACAGGCTGGTGGCACCTGTGGAAGTCCTGCCACTTTCATGAGTGTGATCTGTCCTCTCATACGCGGTGCCCAGAGGTTGTATCCAGGAGGAGTGGACAGAGCCTTAACTTTGATGAGTTCTCCTGCAGTTTTGCAAGTTTGAAGTACATGGTGGTGCAACTGAGACTCGTGAAAATCTTGAAATCAGCTTGATGATCACGGAGTATTTGCAACACAGATTGATACTTGAATTTGCTGCTTGGCTGTTTCGTAGGATGTGTATTTTGGACGTTTTCCATGAAGCGAGGAATACTAAAAGTGCTGCTTTGGGGAAGGAGAAAATGGAGAAAAGAAGGGCTGGGACTGTGGCATCATTGTGCAATTTCTGCAAGAAGATAAAGAGAAGCCACCAAATACTACAAGACACTCACACGTGCACCCAGTGCTGGCTGTGCTCAGTGCTAGGGATTAGCACCCTCCAAGGCTGGCAGAAAGGATGAAATGCATTAACACTTATGCTGAAATAGATGGTGGTTTTAGTTAACGTGGCAGCTGTGAAATGTAGTGTCCCCAGAGTGGCTTTGTGACCCATTCTACCACCTGGTATAGAGACTGGCCACCTTCAGGACAGGGGACAGGCAGGTGGCGGAAGGGACAGTGGTTATTACAGCACCATCCACTAAATCTTGCTGGGTCCTGAGCATAGAGCCGTGCTCCCGGAGCCCTGGGGAGCTGAACACCCAGGGCTGGTTTAACAGCAGACACACACGAAGCTGCTCGGAGGAGCTGCCCAGGCATTTGGGGGGCTGAAAGAAGCAATGATCAAGAGCTGAAACCCTCTGCACTACGGGGAGAGCTGTTGGTCGGAGGCTGCCCAGCAGAGGGGCTGCTGTTACCACTCCCCGCTTCCCATGCTGACACTTTCCAGGAAAAATCTGGCTCCCTTCACTTTGGCAGAGGTTTATTTTTGGAAGGTTTAATAATGTCCGTGGTGTGTCTGTCACTCCCTCAAAATACAGAACCTTTATTTGTATTTATAGGCGAGATTAAATATAAAACTGGCTCCGCTCCAGCTGGCTCCTGCACCAAACTTCTTTGACACCAGGATCATCCACAGCAGTAAAGCCACTGGCCAGGTGGCAGTTTTACAGCTCCAGCAAATGAAAGGCAGGCCTGGCTGGTCATTTTTAAGAGTGGCCTCCCCTTGCACAAATGATCATTGATGCTCAGAGTAAATGTGGATGCAGCATCTCCATGAGGTGCTCCAGCAAGACCCCTTTGCTCTGAAATGGCCCTTGCAAAGTGGCACAAGGCAGCACCCAGTTCTCTCAACTGGAGAGGAAGATGCAGGTAAGAAAAGCGTCCCAGGGCAGCTAATAAAAAGAAAAGAGCCCCAAACCAACCCAAGCCTTGTCTGCCTCCGTCCCTGCTCGCCGTGCAGGGCTCAGGAGTCGCACAGTTGCGGGAGGTGCTGGACAGGACTTGGGCAAAAAGAGACAAGGAGTTTTTCCCGGTCAGTGAAGCTCTCCAGAAAATAGAAGCCCTTTGGGATGAGCCCAGTGAGTTGTAGGGAATTGTAGTAATGATGTTTAGGTTATTTTGAATGGATGTGGAAGCACTGGCGGGAGGAGAGCTGAGGGAATGGTCCATGCTGGGAGCAAATGCTGGGGCTCACCAAAGGGGAATGCTGTGGAGAGACCTGTCTCCTTGTGACAGAGAGCACGAGGGGAGACCAGCAAGGGCCTGCAGGGCTCGTGGCCTGCCTTGGAGGTGAGCTTAGGGTGTTTATCAGGGCCAGATTGTCCAGAACTCTCTGTGCCCTCTTTGCATCGAGGGAACGATGGTTTTCAGCGTGGCTGGGGGAGCTTGGTGCGTAGCTTCCTCCTTGTGTCACATCTCCAGAGTCCAACAGGCTGAGCTGAGTTTTGAGGCTTGTCCCCTCCTAAGCCTAAGGATTTACCTATGCGGGACAGCACAAGAGATTAGGCTTGAGAAACTCAAGTAAAACACCAAGGCAGAGTTTAACATAAATGGGGCAAACACGTTCAGAGGGGCCTGCTCTCCAGGAAGGCGAACAGAGTAGGTTAAAGCCCCAAATGCCTGTACACAAATGGCTTTAAAAATGCCTTTAAAAATGCCTCCTTTTTTTTTTTTCAAGTGGCTCTTCACAGGTCTGCTACATTCAGGGTCACTTGAGTCCAAAGCTTCATACCCTGAAACCATGAATACCCTCAGAAAGCCACAGATCAAAGCCTGGTAGTGCCGCAACCCACTTGAATCAAAGGAACTAAAAAAAAAAATAAGTTGCACCACAATTACAGGTAGAGAAGGTATTTCAGGCGTGCAGTAAACATGGCAAATAATAAATAGAGCTATTCAGTCAGCAAACGGCTGTGTGATTATAAATAGGAAAATCTACCCCAGCCCAAAGCCAGCTGAGCCCCAACAACGTGCAGTTATTAAGGAGTGATTTTTCTGTGCGTTTTTTGGAAGGAGGTTGAAAATATTTTGCCCACTCTTTATTTTAGGAAGGTGAAATGTCCCTGGTGGCTTTCAAAAGCTGACCTCTCGAGCGTGCATTCTCCATGCCAAGACACTGAGTCACGAAGAGATTTGCAGGAAGCTGTTTCCAATCCAGACAGGGGATAAAACGGTTGTAATTTAGTAGCCAGCTGGGCTCAGCGTGCTAATAACCACAGCGCCCGGTCCGTGCCCTCAGCCTTGCAAGGCGGGAGCTCTGCTTGCTGCTGCTTTCACATGCTGTTTGGTTATTGCTTGGGGTAGAGCTTGTGTGCTGAAAGGCTGCCTGTGTCCAGGCCAGACCCGAGGTCGGAGCATGTGAGCTGGCCGGGAAACGCTGTCCTTCCTTCTTTGCGCCACATGGAAGCCGACAGGCTCTGGGCCTGTCCTCTGGACCCTTGGGCTTGCAGGGACGTTTTATACTCTGCCTTGTTTCAGCTGCAGGCATCAGTTTAAGTGTCTGATGTTTGTGTGTTGTAGCAGAGAGGGCCTCATCTTCCTCCTCTTCCTCCTGTGAACCCACCGGACCTGTTTGTTTGGTGCCCCTGAGTGCGATGCACTTTGCACGTGGGGTCTCTCCTGCCTTTTGGGGGGCTGCACGGGTACACATTGAGCATCGTGGTTTTATCCCCAGAGAGGCCCGGGTGGCACCAGCGCCCACGGGGTCCTGGTGCCGGGGGGGCAGCCTGGGCGCCCGGAGCAGCTCCTGCCTCCGGCTCCCTGTGGTCACCCCAGAGCAGGGCAGCAGAGGCGGGAGCGGGGAGCAGAGGAGCTCTGCCTGCTCCCGGCCGCTGCAGCTCCTCATGGACCCTTTGCACGGCCGCTGGTTCCCCTGGTTCCCCCACACGTGACCTGCAGATGGGCTGCTCTAGGGCAGCACCTCGCAGCCCGGGAGCGGGATGGGCGGCCTGGGACAAGGACCTTGTCACCCGCGGCAGGTGCTCTGAGGAGTCTCGTGATCACAGCCCTGGCCTGGATTACGGATGCGACCTATTTGTTATCGCATGGCAAGATCCAGCAGGGCTCTCCGGCTGACGCGTTGGGATTTGTCCCGCTAGGGATTAATGACCTTTCTGTCTGCTCCAGGGGTGGCTCGGCCCCGTGAGCAGCCGCAGCCTGGGCTGGCTGTGATGTGTGTGGTGCCTGCCACTGTATGGGCAG